GATATTGTAGTCTACCTGTATTCTGTCACTCGCGGCGAAACCACTGACGAAATACGCGCAGTATGACATGATGTCAGCTTTCCAACATAAAAAGAGCAGAGTATCGTGCTGATGACCTGCTTGGAAATTTCATGACCACACGACGATCAGTTGAAACGCTTTGTCAGTGCTATGAAATGCTTTTCCAAGACAGAATTCGTAAAGCCACGAAATGTTCACTGACAAGCATTGCAGCGAGTATTTATCCGGTAAGATATTTTATCAATTGCCACCCAACATCGGACATTTCTTTCACAAATGAACTAGATCGATACAATTACATTGAGATACGTTCATAAAGGCTTTTCACTCATTTGAAACATTTCGACGGCCTCCCATTCCATAAAGCATACAAGAAAGCAGGTAAAACTTAATTTCTCATTGGTAGGGTGCATAAAACTCTGTCCTCCCAGAAATTCAAATCCATGGGACAATGGAGCATTTTCAAGAGCGGTCAGAAAATTTAGTTGATAATTTCGTACATTCTTGTATTAGTCTCAAAAACTAAAAAGCAATCAAGGGATCAAAATAGATCATCACAGGTGCACAGCCATAACGTGTAATTGAGCCTCCATCAAAATAAATTAATCATGATCAATAACTGCTACTTCTGATTTGGATTCTGTTTTCGACATCATCTACATCTACATAAAAATACTGCAACAAACAAAGGAAAAAGGAGATTGAAAGAAGTGACTCCGTAATTGGAATAGCAAGTACAATACAGTTCGGTATTTGAAAATAAATCCAAGCTTCCAACGAGAAAAAAAGGTTCAACTCACGAGGTATTCCCGAACGACGACGAGAATGCACTCCTTCGACCTCCTCTTCCGCTTCTTCCCTTCCATCACACGCAATCGCCTCATAATTTCTTCTTCGTGTGGAGTCCGGATTGTCTCTCAACAGCTGCAAGCAAATATCGACCTAAAGCCATGAAAATAGGGGACGATAGTGGAAGATAGGGAAGAGTTTCGGCGCAGATCCGAGCACAAGAAGCAACGCGACATTAACAGAGGAGCAACGGAGATGTTTGAAGAATTAATCCATCAGGAAACCATCAAATAACGTTGTTGAAAGAAAGGGACAAAGAGTGGGAGGGACAAAAGAAAAGAGAGAATAAAACGGTTAACTGATCTGAGCACCATGAAAGCCAGGAAGCAAAATGCGTGATTCTCAAGTTCCAGCCCCATACCAACGAGCCAGACAAGTCTTCCACCAAAGCCAAAGCACCACCAAATTACTAAATAAAAGCAAAACAAAGAAGCACAGCCAGAAAAAAAAAGGATAGCGATGACCCCCTTCCTGAATTTCACAAATCGAGTAAGACGATCATGCAAAATTCATTTTTGCGCCTTCGATTGCATCGGAAATATCAACCTAAAACATACACTGAGGAGTTTCCAAATTCGTGAGAAAGACTTCATGAAAAAGTAAACTACAGTACTAGCATCGTACAATACAGCCTACTTCTTCAACTTCTTCATCCGTGGATAGATATTTCCAGAAGACAGAAACAAAATTAAAATAATTCCCTACCGAGTTTGATTCAAGTTCGAGAAGTAAAATATATCCCTTCGCTTTTGCAGCTTCTTCATTGAGAATTATTCCCCTGATATAAACATTGGACCGATCCTTCCTCTTACCACATCATCGTCAAAAAAATAATCGACACATTCAATTAGAACTGAGCTCAAGATGCAAAAAAAATAACTTATTCTTGTGAACTTGACATAATTTCACTTTATTACGCGTTCATTGAATTACGGTAATCCCTTGAGGCTTGAAAATTTTGTTAGAGAAGTCATAAGCGGTTGACAGCGCCATGATTAGCGGAAGAATGAGGAAACCCAAAAAAGATAGCGATTGCATCATAAAGCATATACCCACTGGCGTTTTATCTGTGAGCTTCCTCTTCGTTTTCTCCACCAGGTTCTGAAGTGTTCAAAAACGTGTGAAAAAAGAACGAAAATAAAATAAATTAATTGTGCTAATAAAGAGAGTAAGCCTGATGGATCTTGCCCACAACCTCGCTAATGCGACGAGAGGCCGAAAAGACTGAATCCGACAACAAAATAATGCTCGTAAAACAACAATCCCCTTCACGAATACAACGTCAAATTTCGAGTCTCAATTCTGAAGGCAGAGGAATAAATCACTCAAACCTCAAAATTAAGTACAGTAATTCAATGGAGGAATAAAATCTCGAGTAAAATGTCGTAACATTTGACAACAAATGACCAATCTTACCGGTAAAGCCAAGAAGTGCGGACCAAGAGCTGCGACAAATGCGTAGAGTAGCAAGACGGCAAGCGGATATGCGTAATAATCCCAATCCATTTCCACGAATTCCGACATTCCTTCCAGGGTGCAGTTCGTGTTCACCAACTGGGTGAGTCCGAATAACCTGCGATAACCATTCTCAAAAGTTCGATGATCATATGGAAAGATGAATCCATAATTAGAATGAAAGTCGTGTTCGAAAGCTCCGAAAGCAATACGTCCATAGATTTAGAAATCATTGTGACATATTTTCAGCTATCAGATAGCGTTGAAAGGTTAACTGAAAAATTTTTTTCATTCTGAACTAATTCGTGATGATCACTCATTCCACCTCATGTTGCATTACTGGAAAAATGGTGACTTTTTGCATTCCAGGATAAATTAAAATGAAATAGTTTGAAAATTAAGCGAAAGCATAGTTAACTTCTTTTACTACATCGGAACTTTCAAAAATTTCGAATCTCACGTGGAAGTGGGTACAGCTCCCTTGACTTTAATCAATCTTGACCCGCATTTGAACGCTGTACTAAAAAATTTAATTTTCAAATTTCACCAATTATTTAGTAGGAAATTGAAACCCCACGTCAAAAACAGGAAAAGTCTATTATAGGATAAACGATCCAATTAGATTAATCTCATTTGTGCACTCATTCCCATTCTGAAACTCACCTTGCGGGAAGCTGATCAGGCGGGACAGCAGTCTGAAACCACTCAGTCTGGTAGAGATACAATACAATTACATGAACTCCGGCAAAGGCTTGAATGAACCGACAAAAGCAACCCATCCAAGGACTTGCAATCGTGGCTCGACATGACCACAGCGTTCCCAGAGCGAGAAAGCTAAGGTAATACACCGATCCAGTCAACGACGGCCGAATGGCTCCCGCAAATAACAGTGACCCAAGAACGACGACGCAAGACAACTGCGTGAAAACTTCAAGGGCAAAAGGATGTTGGCGAAACCCGATCACAGAAGCTTCACCCAAGAGAGGAGAAACTTCCGGATTCGATCTCGATGAGTTGATTCGGCTGCATCCGATGAGGCATAACGCGGAAATCAAACCCATCACCATGTCGGGGAGGATGAGACGAAGAGTATCTCTTGCAGAAAACGTTTTGTACGAAACGAAACCGAGGTGCTTCAACAATTCTTCCCCGAAAGAACCTAGAATTTGAATTGAAACATTAATTTGAGCCGAGCTTTGTTCGCGGAACAAGTCAGGCATTTCCATCTGGAATAAATTTCAAAGCGAATGCTCACATTGTTGGAATTCTGGTACAACGTCCATCCAACATAACAGCTGGAATAGAGATCCCGCGAACAGGAATGCGATACCGACGACCAGGCATATTTTCAAATGAGTCAATGTAGAACCTAAGTAATATTTTCTCCGAATGAATTCCCAAAATAAATTGGAATGGTGAGGTGTACCACTTACTCTTCACACCCCTCGATGTTACAACAGGGAGGGCAGGAGTAAACAGCAACAACAGCAAGTGTACCAATGACAATGCATTCTGACGGACGGCAACGCCTGAAAAACGGGGTTTATCGGTTAAAATCACATTTCGTAACATGATCAACACATACAACGGTTGTAAAATTAAGCAAAACTTGATAACCTCGATTGAAAGATAAACTATCTCTTCAATAATAGAATCCACTCATGTTGAAAATTCAGCGCCACGTTGATCGAATTTGCTCAGAATTGTAGTCATCCTTTTAAAAGCTTCCTCCAGTTCATCAATTCACGCGACTCGGTCGTACCATTCAAACAAAGACAATAAAACAAAATTTATTCGATCAACCGAAAACCCCAACTTGGAGACTAAGAACAGATGGACTATCTTGGCAAGATTTCTCAGAAGATCAAGAAAGAAAAATTGAAAGGAAAACTACGATGTAGAACAGCTTTTCGGCTTTAATGGAGGCCAGAGTTCACCTTCTTCTACTTATACAGGTGGACTCTCTTGACAACGAAACTCGAGGGACACAAAAACTGCTGTCAACAGAATTTCGTTGCAGCGAACCCCTATAACATGACGAGTTAACCCGCGAGGCAAAAAAAATCGTCAGAGAAAATCCTCGTAGACAAGATCATTGTAGAGAGGTTCCACCTGTATTCCATATTTTCTTAAAATAGCTCACGAACAATGTTCATCCATCTTTAATTACTATTTCCTTTACCCATGGAACCCCATTACGACACGCTAAACCAGAAATTTACTCGTATCTAACTTATCTCGTTCCTGTTCCTTCAAAGACATAATTCTTCGCACAGATTTCGGGCGACTGACACTACACACTACATTTGCTACCTAAGCCGAAGTGACTACAATGCGACTTTACTGCGCACGATCAATAAAGCATGAGCTCTACTCCACATGTCTTCCAGATAACCACGGGTAGTAACGAGTGTTACGAATTCCTGAAACTCACTTGCTAAAAGTGTGACAGGGAGAACGAAGTGAACCAATCCCCCGGTGATCAACGCCAAAACCATTTTCGAACCGCAGAACGCGGCCTAAGGCGCACTATGGAGCGGACTGCATATTCTCTCGCTCCGAACAATTCAACACATACTTATACAATCTGAAAAGATAAGACTATCTTGATGGAAGCAGAGTTGAGAGGAAGTTGAGAAATCGATTCGTTCAATAGAAACGCAATAAAATCAAAATGAGATTCCAGCGTCGTCCCCATTTATGAGAAGGACCGCAGCCTTTTTCGCACAACTGAGTTATTAGCATGGGCAGCTGGCAGTTTTCTGAATATTTTGCACACACAAGTCAGTTTTTTGGATGTTACGAATTGCAATGCACTGACAAATTCACTTCTTCTTTGCTTGCAAACCAGCTCCGGCGTTGAATTTGAAGAAGATTATGTCCCCATCTTCAACAACATAATTTTTGCCTTGCTGTCTGTACTTTCCGGCGGCTTTCGCTGCGTTTTCACTTCCTTCTTCCTTGAAATCATCGAACTTCATCACTTCGGCCATGATGAAGCCTTTCTCGAAATCCGTGTGAATTCTTCCAGCTGCTTTCGGCGCAGGAGTACCCTTCAAAATTGTCCACGCCTTGACTTCGTCTTCACCCGAGGTGAAGAAATATTGCAACTGCAGGGCCTTGTAACCTTGAACAATGATTTTCTCTAACGAAGAAGGAACACCAGCTTCTTTCAAGAATACGGCTTTTTCATCTTCAGGCATGTCCTGTATCTTCAGCTCAAATGCGGCGGAAAAGGGAATGATGACTGATCCAGGATCGTGAGCGTCAATCCATTCCTTGATTTTCACCAACCACTTGTTTTTCTTCCGTATGTAGTCCTTCTCTGACAAGTTTACTAGATAGACGATGGGCTTTGACGTGATGAACAAAAAACGATTGAGCACCTCGATATCCTGAAATACAGATGAAAGGACAAATCATCGGGGAAATATCAGCTTTGCAGTAAATAATGTGGAAAGATAGAAAATTTTTCTAGGCCGCAAGTTCTCCCTTTTTATGCCGCAGCATGCCTTGAGTCAGCGTTCCTAATTTCTAAAATGCTTTCCACATACACTTTTTTCATTGAATTTGAACTTCGTCGCAAATCGTGTAACTATTTTATCATTTGGTTAGACATCAGGTTTTTTAGGGCTCAATGGAGTATGCTAGGTTCCATATTTAGACGATTGAAGTAAGACGATGAAAAATCGGATAACCGGGATCAAAACAGATCGTAGGTATAGGATAGATAATAATATGTACAGTACTAACCTTTTCGTTCCAGTCTTTGAATCTCAAATGCTTCTTTTCGTCGATGAGGCATTCTTTGAATTTCATAAGAATATCATATTCATCTTTCAGCTTCTTGTCGCCCCTCAAGACGGTTTTCTCTAACTTTTCAATATCCTTCTGGAGAAAATCCTCATCTTTTTTCCGCAGCTCTTCCATGATGATGTCCATGTCTCGCACAGGATTCACGTCTCCTTCCACGTGGGTAACATCGTCGTCCTCAAAGGCTCTCGCCATGTAGAATAAAGCATCACAAGCTTTAATGTGCGATAGGAAAGCGTTCCCGAGACCCTGACCTTCAGACGCTCCTTTGACAAGACCGGCAATATCGACAACATTCAGAAACGCTGGCACCTGAAGAAAGATAATACGATTATTACGCCATCGAACGACTCACAAGCTCAATGAATTGCAAGAAACGACTTTCAGGATGAATGCGCTCAGGCGTCGGGAGAAATAAAACATCTGCTCCAAAACGGCTTGCTAGTCAGTCGAATTGTACGAAAAAAATTGGAATTGTGAACATCACAAGAAACTAAGGTAAGACTCTTTTCTATACTTCGACTAAATTGCGTCGCTTTGAGAACCACGGTTCATTTCCCAAGAATCTAGAACACGACGGATGTGAAACATGGACAAAGGTACTTACAGCTAAATCAATGATCATACCTTACTCGCAGGTTTGAAATAATCACACAAGTAATCGTATCGGGCGTCAGGCACAGGAACTCTGCTTTCGTTCGGATCAATGGTACAAAACGGGAAATTTTCAGCAGCAGCTTGACTCTTCGTCAATACGTTGAAAAACGTCGATTTCCCAACATTCGGCAATCCAACAATGCCCATTTTCAAATTTGTTCCCATTCGACCAATTAATGGCCGCTTTGGTGGTTCTTCGCCTTTTTTCGGGGCCATTATATCGTTCACAGTGTATCATTCACTCTGACATGCGAAAGGCAAAATACAGATAAACGAAGTTAGGAAGTGATTTTCAAAAGATGATACCGCATTGTACCGGATTTCCCTCTTCCGTGTGAAATTTTGCGCAACGTAATTTTGTTTTGGACATAGGACACCTTGGTATTTTTTCCGCTTCTTACAAAGAAAAAGAGTTTACGTAAAACTTCCCGGAAGAGAGAAACGGTGGGAAATTTCAAGGCAAGCATGGATCAACTTGATTTTATTTCCAAACGTCGCACATGGCGATTCTGACGTTCAAGCTGTCCCGGCAGGCAGAATTTGAAGATTAGGGATGTTGTTGAAATCGAGTTCTTTCAACATATCCTTGGTCTCCTGATCCACTTCCAGGATATCCATGGCTTCGATATAAGAGATGTCCGGAACGTAGTTGTCCCTGCGCTCGCGCTCCTCTTCTTGCAGCTTGATTGAAATACCGCGCACTGCACCCCGCTGGATTCTCTTCATCAGATGCGTCACGAAACCGGCGATACGATTGCGAAGCTTCTTGCTAGGAATAATCGCGATTTCCTCACACAATCGCTTGTTTGTGTGAAAATCCAGGGTGAGCTTCGGGTAGTATTTTTCAATGATGACGCGCGCAGCTTTCTTTACAGTCTTGGTTCTAACACGACCCATGTTTGTAACACTCGGGAAAGCTCCGTCGCCACAAAAGATTCACAGGAAACTAGAAAACGAGATTACATTAGCTTCTCGTCACTGAAATCCGTACAGGCCAATCACTGATCAGATTCTAGACAAGAGATCATATTTATTCACACAAATTTCTTATTTTTTAGCAAAAGTTATCTTCATTGGTGCAACAGGTGTGATCTTGAATCCCTGCATTGCTTCCCTGGCGGCATTAGCTTGCTCATCATCTTCGTATTCGATAAAGGCAATATCATTCCGTCCGGGAACCAACCGAACTTCTTTGTAGCCAGGAAATCTGTAAGAGAATGGCATTGCTTAGAAAGCATAAGAAAATTGAAGGGACCAACAGCCATACGTACTGTGCGAACAACATCTGCAACATTTGTTCCGTTGTTTCTTCTGGTAAGTTCATAACGAACAGAATGTGATTTGGCGGCATTTCGCCAGTACCTAAAAGAAGAGGAAAACGGTGCTATAGTCAACAACTTCAAAAAAGTAGACAATGAAACTAACCTTGGATCATAGCCATGTTCGCTAGAGCAGTCGAACCCTTGCTTTTTTGTTTCGCTTTCGGCTCACCCTCTGTCAACCCATCCAATTTCCTCTGAGGTTTCTTAACTTTCTCGGCTTGAGCCCCCATCAAGGCTTTGATTTCTTCAGAGTCCCGTTTGGCATATTGAACACGCTGATAAAAGATGAACACATCTGCAATGTAACAAACATTCCCAGTCCAATATTTGCACGAACGTACCATGGGTTTATCGAACAAGGGGAATCCTTGCAACGCTCGAACAGCATTTGAAGCTGACTGTATTTCCTTGAAAATTATGAAGGCTTGTCCACGCATCTTGGGGGTTTTCATTGCAACAATCTCCAATACAGCTCCATATTGCGAGCAGAGGTAGTACAAACTCCGCTTCAGCTCTGAAAGAAATTTCAGCGCGGCATTACTTTACCGCATCGTCCACGATCGTTCGTCAAGCTCACCGGTTTTATTGATTTTTTCATTCAAATTGTTGATGTACACAGTTACTAAGCCAGCATACAGGTAGTAAAGTCCAAAGGACGATACAATTTAAACCCCTTTACCATTATCCGGAGTGGCCTTAACGTGCTAAATGTGCGTCATAAAGCATTCGCGTAGTTATCTTAGCTTTGAATGTCACTCCACTCTGCAAACTCACGGCACTTATCTCACGGTTGCGACGAACTGAATTTCGCGGTGGCGTAGTTTCTCGCCAGAGCAGAACTCTTGGTCAGCGAAACTCTAGGCCACTGCTCCCCCCATACCCTCACTCCCTCTTCTCGTCACTCTCTTCTTTACACACACTAGTGACAGACTTGAGGATTCGAGTTTACAGTGCGCTGGGTGATGTCACAGGACTATAGTGATACCAGGTCTAGTAAGGATGTTCACACTGGAATAAAGGGTGTCACAGGACAACTTCTTCAAAGTATACAGGAGTGCACTTTTTTGTCATTCAAGTGTTACAAAGTTTATGATTCGGTCGTATGTCCATCATTTCAGGTTTCCTGCTATGTTAAATTTGGGGAAATGGTAATAGGCCTCACCGGAATTGCACGATTTACACGCAGTATTTCGTAAGCGCATCAATAGAATCGAAAAAATGTCACTCCACTCTGCAAACTCACGGCACTTATCTCACGGTTGCGACAAACTGAATTTCAAGAATACAATATCTCGCTTAGAGAAGCGCCATTATGTTTCATGGAGATCTCCTCTTTGATGTAGCGTTTTAAAAGAAAATGGCGACGTTCTGCTGTACTGTGATAGCTTTTGTCTTGCAGGAATTTCATCGTCGTGGTAGTTTACGAATGTAACTTGAGTCTGCAGTGCATACTTTGGACCATTATGAACTAAATTGACGCGGGTCAACTGTTGGTCGCTGAAGTTGGACCGTCGAAAGAGCGGAAATCGCTGCTTTCATCCGAAAGTTGCTGGTGTGCTAATCGTTGACTGATTATTCGTTTTTGCAGTGTTGCTCGGAAGTATAATCTCCAGGTCGCTGTGATAGATAAATCACAATGTTAGAAGTGAAGCGAAGTTTATCCGGTCTTGTGGCTTATGGGGCTTTACTCACGGCCCTGGTGTGCTGGTCGATCGCGTTTTTCACGCCTTTCTGGCTTGAGAGCGATTTCAGAATGTACGGATCACAATTTAAGAGGCTGGGATTATGGGTGAATTGCTTCAACAGTCTTCCGGATCCAAACGATTTTGAGCGTCACATATTTTTCGTGGGTTGCCGTTGGGTTTTTGATCCGTTCACTGCCGGATATCCTGAAATTCGGGGATATCTCCTGTCAGGTAAGATTGATCAGTTTAAAGTCCATGTGTCGATTCATTTTTCAAATTAATGCCCTTTTTTCTCTTGCAGCTTTTTTTGTGGCTACCCAAATATTTGCATCATTCGCCTTCACTCTCATCCTCGTAGCTTTTGTACTAATGGGAAAGCTTATCCTTTGTTGGTCGATCAAAAGCGAAGTCAGAACCTTGAAGTTGATTTCTTATGTCCTACTTGCGTCTGGTGAGATATTTTGTTGATGAAATATTGACTATATCTGCAATGCACGATGTTTTCTTCCAGCCTTTTTCGGTTTTCTGGCTATCACTATTTTTGGTGCGAAGGGCAACTCGGATCCTGATTGGATGCCAAATCCACAGCACAACTATTTCAGCTGGTCTTACGGTCTTGCCGTAGTTGCTACGTTCGCAGAAATTGTGGCCGCCGTTTTGTTTGCTGCGGATGCTCATGTACGAGGAAAGAAAATCCGTCGAATGCCGTCCTATCAAGTAGAGAATGGTCGTGAAGAAGCGACTGCATTCAATGAACCAGCTGCGCAGCGCTAATATTTTGGCAAAATGTTTTATATCAGTTTTTATCTTGGAGCCTATGTATTGAGCGCTCAGTGGACAATTCGCCATGTTATATGTACTGGACTGGAGTTCAAAAGGCTTCTTGACCTCACCATGGATCTGTTGAGCTTCTTAATCCGTCCAAATGTGGGAAGCATTATGTGTGTTTGTGGATACGTGACGAAAAATTCAGCGTCGGATCTTTTCTAGGTAATGTTGAAGTCCTCACGGCATTGAATGTTGGAAACTTTAGTAAACCTTGTTCACAATTGGTTGTTGATGTTACATTTGTAGTGTGTTATTGGCTGAACAGTGTATGGTATATTCTATGATTTTTATGACTTTTATTTTGCTTGGCTACATTGAAAGATCTTCCTAAGTCTTGGCTTAATCAAATAAATGTATTACCTTGTACTTCTTTTTCAGATTCCTTTGCGACAATATTTCAAGTGATAATGTGCTTCGTGATGTAGTGTTCGTTTATGGAAGGAACTGCGTGTTTTTATTGTGCCTATGACTTAAAAATGGAAATCTTACGATGTGTGCCCGCGAAGCTTTTTAGCAATTCTCGGCCTGTTGGAGTGAGTACTATAATCTCCATGTTTCTCCTCAAATCTGAAAATGACCGATTTCCGAAAGTGTATCTTAAAACTTGATGGGTAAATTCAATTTCCGTATATTCAGCGTGAAAATGATTTTTTTGCTGGAATTCTCGACGAGTTCTATGATCTATGTAAGCGTGTTCAATTGATCAATGCAAAAATTGCACAAGATCTTTTTGTCCCGTGAACAAAGGCCTTTCTTCTCGCGCTCGACAGAAATCAACTTTTGATCGACCTTGGTTTTTTCAATGTTACATGAATGCACAGTCATTCGGATTCCTTGCCACTTGCGATTCTATATCCGTATACCCATCCGTCAAATCACAAGTTTGGTATAAAAAAAAGAAGAGGATTCAGTTTGGTTTGATTGGTAATGTTTGAATTCGTGTTTTATTAGATTAGTTGTACAGTATTGCCATTTTTGCATCTCAGTGGTGTAAAAAATCTATTTTGAAAGAAAAACTGGGCCACGTAGTTCTATAAATGAAGTATTTGTTTCTCTGAGCAATCCACTACTTGAGCACCTATTGAGCCAATCTGGCAATCATGATATCCGCGAACATATACAAATATGTTCTTACTTTACGGTGTGAGGCGGGAAGGACTTACACAAAATAGTAAAGCTCGTGTCATTTGTAATGTCGATATCAATTTTAAAATGCTGGTGCAGTTGAGATTTCTTGGGATTGCGTGAAACGGAAGTAGCAAAGTTCGTGATGCGTGTGTGGAAATTTTTTTTTCGGGCTTGAAATGATCGTGAATTGCATGACCGCCAAAGGAACCTCGGATTCCTTGGTCGCCGTAAGTAAGGTAATTTGCCGTGGTTTTCCTTTGATTGACACAATTCAATCATAAAACGTTCCTATATTGTAGTACAATACTGTACTGTGATGAAGGACTTCAGTAAATTTCATGTGAATGCATCTATAAAAGAGCGGCTTGGAAAAGGTAAAACGATTTTTATTCGTTCTCACCTCTTTACTTTGTTCCAAATTCCGTTGAGGGTAAATTAGTTGATTTTCATTCAGTGAGTAAAAAGAACTATAATTTGCACGGTTTATTTATATTTTTAAAAATCGGTGCGATTTTGAGCTGTTTTAAAACGTGAGCGTCCGAACTTTTTCCGCTTTTCTCTTGCCTTAAAGAATGTCTGGATTATTTCGCGAATTCAAGTATTCTGTGTGGTGCAACAAGCAATTTCCCATACCACATACGCCTCGTTTCGTGACTCAACCTACGAAAGTGTCGGTGGGGAATTTCACGTGAAATGTTGCGGGTGAACGAGTTCTGGTAGAACGTATGGGTTCATGCGACACGTTTTCTGTCAGCACAGTACTTGTGGTACATTTTGCTTTGATCCTGAAACTCGTGTCACATCTCTACGCAGCATTTTCTCGACCACCAATGGAATGCCTCATATTTTTTCCGTCGCGGAGCTTGAATCTTTGTTGCCCTATCCCTTTAATGAAGGTTGATTTCTCTTCATATCTCATTATCTTAATTTCTGACAATATTCTTGATTTCAGAATGATGCACGCGGTCAGGTGCTGGGGACGTTCTGAGTCACCGTTGCAAGCTTTCGATAGCTTTAAGGTACACATGGAATATTTTTATCACCAAGTCGGGGAAACGCAATGTCAAGCGAAATCCTTATTGAAATTCTTATCAGGTGCCATAATATTTCTGAAATTTGGAAAAGCTGGTCAAAATTTTGTGTGAAGTACATTAAAATGTAATTCATCCATATTTAGCCATCATAGGATTTTCCCCGCACGTTACATCGTAAATCGCCCTATTTTCGCATGCAAAAACATATGTATGAATTTCCTCAGCCACCCTGTTTGTTTTGCATTCCCCAAAATATTTCTGTTTTTTTATGAATGAATGAATGAACAGAAAACTTTATTTGCCGCTTTTCAGTATGAGAAGAGAAGGTGCTCTGGTGATGCACAAACTAATGTATTTATGCTGCAGGAGTTACACCACTTAGAAACCTTTGAGAGTTGGATGAATTTTTTACTAAAGTGCCATGAATTTGTTAAAATAGCAATGGTTTAGTATTGCCACAAGCAAGAACAGCTAGAAATGTACTTGAGTCTACAACATCACAATTATCATGACAAAATTGAGTGATCAGGATCTTTTCTCTGCCTTTATTGATGTTACACTTGAGAAACTGTTTTTTAAAGTCAAAGTGAATGATTGGGAATGCTGTGAGTACTGTTTGTAAATTTGAATTTTTAGGTTGTTGACGTGCTTGACGGTGCTCATCAAGGTCTAGAATTCTCCATTTTAAATTTCAAATAGATTCTCCTCGTTGACTTTTCGTTGGTGACTGTTAGTGTTGAGCAATTATATTTCTGTTGGCATAAGATGGCGTTACCAATAACCTTGTACTTGGCAATTTATCTTGTATTTTTTGTACCGTCTGGAGCAGTAGCACCATACCGTGCTAGCCGAGCAAAATTTGCATGCGTCTGATTCAAGGCCAAGCGCCTTGCGTTATCTCGATTGCAAATGCTAATGCATAATCCTACCACTTCCGTTTCATGTATCACTTCGAGTGGTATCGACTGATTTTAATCGACCTGGGATGACGAAATTGTTGAACTGATTGCGTCCGTGTTTTCAGTACCCTATTGTTGTCTATGAGACGGTTTGCGAAATATTGTGTGTTCTGTTCATTGAACCTCAGTTGGAAGATGTTCAAGAATTTGAGTGAAGTTCCGTGTATTTCTGAACTCATCTCGACAACAAGGGCTCATACCGCCAAAGAACTTCGTTGATATTTCTTCGAATTTATCGCGCATTCGTGAAAATGAATAACTGATGGTGGTATTTTTTCAATTTATTTAAATACGATTCCGTTTTTATGAAAGTATCTTTCTTCAGCGTTAAAGATACGTTCACAGTGATGGAGTTCACTGCAGGAAAAGTTTAGCTGAGGAAAGCAAGACTTATATTTGTGGTTTCAGCGATTGTAATTTCCCTTAAAATTAAAAAAGTGAAGTTTTATTTTTATTGTTTGTTGCTTTTCTTCTAAAAGCACGTAGTCGAGCTGCAAAATACAGTACAGTACTGTATTACAAGTTTTTGAAAAACTTAATTGGACCATTTTAGTTTTTTTTTCTTTAGACTAAGTTAAAATCATTCGGCGATAAATTTATGTCAAGGTTTTTTAGCTCGCTTATGTTGATTTTATCGTGACTCTCCCAATTGTAGATCTGTCTCGGACAGTTTTTTTGCTTCGATTGATGTTTCAGGGACAGCATCACTAGCCCAAACATCGGTAGGTTGATAAAATTTGCTCTTGACCTGCATGCAAACATATGAAACATACAGGCTTATTGTTGTAACTTAATTTTCTTCCACGCTTCAGTAGGGTGCACTCCGTTTAATGTAAAGTATTTCCGCTTCATTTTGGGTAAGCCAAGATTGGATTAGTTGCCATAAAATTATGAGTACTGTGCTGTGTTCTTCTGTGAAATAATAATTGCGTACCAACACTCTCCACCCATCCTGCAAGATACCAACAAAAGGAACCCAGGGCAAATTAAATCTGGGAACTTCATACTTTGTCTGCGTAATCGGATGATGATCGAATTGCTGTAAGTCGCTTTGTACTTCGCCAAGTACTGAACGATTTGGTTAAGAAGTTTCGACTTTCTCGTTTTGTGTTCATTCGCGGTGACTAATTTTTAAAGAAAGCGAAAATGTGTGACAGTATGCAATTTAATGCCGCCTGAGGAAAAAAGCCTTGATATTCAGCTCTAGCATCAAAAGCCACCCTTCGTTGGTCCATGATATTTCCGCAAGCGCAGTAACATGTGATATGTTCCCTTCTCTTTTACAAGTCATCTTCAATTACTCGCTCCTGCACCACGAGATTATTCGCAAGAAAATTTTTGGTTGGACGAAAACCTATCCTATCTTCGTTGGCAATCGTGAAAGAGCAAACCACTGCACTCCGGTATTTCGAAAATTCCGATTTTTGCACCCGGGTACACTGAAAAATGTTCAAGGTTCTCACCGATGATGGAACCTAGAAAACCCAATTGTAGAGGGGGGGGGATAAAGGAAGAACGGCAAACAAGTTCCCGAGTATGAAGACCCGTGAGTGCGCCGGGCAGATTGGCGCGCCGACATGGCCGGGAACTCGTGGGATGTCGTGTTATCGCGCGCTGATTTATTTTTCTGTCTTAAAATTTGCACTCGTTTCCTTTCTTTTATTATTTTTTTTCACCACGCTTCGTGTCTGTCGGCGAGAACTAATACCGGGGAGAGAAAGAATAAAAGTCAGGCTTGTGAAAGAAGCTGTCCGCGTTTACTTGGCATATTTCTGCTTCGACGGGTACGAGGAATCAGTCGACACGTGGGGCAGAAAAGTATGGATTGCTTTGAGAAGTTCAACGTTCTTCTCGAATTCGTCCTTGAGGGGGGTATTTTGTTCCTTCTTTTTTTTGTTCATGTCGTTTGCCTTGCAAAATGTCTACCCCCATCATTTATTTTTACTTCTCACCGAAACTTGCGCAATTCAGTCATGCGGGTGACGGTAATTTCAATAAATACCCGCGTCAATGTCGAGTGTGATGACGAATGATGCCGGCTATAAGAAGCCTCGCCGCATTTCGTGCGACGGAAATGGTTAATTGCGTGTCACTTGTGATGTTGAAGTGACTGGAAAACAGTTGTGGTGAAGCTGACTCGAGTTTACGTGCGGTCGGGCTCGAATTTTTTGTCGGAGGCATACGATTTGTTTGTCATTTCCTGTGATGATTCGTTTTTTCTTTCATGTTCGCGCGAAAATGAAAACTGACTTATTCAGTATTTTAATATCCCAAATAGTGAACTAATTCAAATGACCTTTGTTTCGCAAAATCGACCTTGAACGTAATCGATGATTTCTAACGTTTGATGGATACTCGTGGGGGAAATGTGGAATTGCGTGTGATCAACTCATTTCTTTTTCCTACGAGAAGCTAAGTCCGCAATTCAAAGAAAATATTTTTAATCCAATTTTATTTTGAAATTACGTAAAGTAGGACCCTGATCTCCATTGAAAATGTTCGAAGAGAAGCAGCAGATCACTGAAGCATGTTTAAAATCAACAGACCGTCTTCTATCCTGCATGTAAGGAATGTAATGGAAATGCTCCTTGCATTGTGGGGCCCAGATTTGTGTTCGTTTTTAACGCACAAAATCGAGTCACGTCTTGTATTCTATTTACTCCGATACTATTTGGGAGAGATTTATTTTCTGATTTAAAAGAAAACAAACTATACATTTCAGGAATTACCGTTGGAAGTTTGAGACAGGGGCTTTATCGGAATGATACATTTTCAAAATGAAAGTTTTCATCCTGAATAAAAACAACTAAAATGAAGGCAAGACGTATCTTTTCTCTTCTTGGGAAGGACTGGATTTCCGTGCTTTCTGAACCTTTTGTATTCATTTTTATATGCAATTATCTTTTATTAAAGTATTGTGTCAGTCGAAATTTAAGGCTGTTGAGTAGAAATGTAAGATTTAATTGGCGTGTTTTTCTGCGTCTTAACTTCAACTTGAATTATTCTAACCTTCCATATAAATGCGAGGGAAAGTTACTCGAAAGAAGTTCTGGAAATACAGTAGTTGTGACGACATTCAAACTTCTTTTTTTTATTACTTTCGGGAAGTCGTAAAAACTTTTCAACCCTCGTGATAACTACGAACTACGGTACTGATTGCAATGTTGGATGAAAAGAAACCAATCTTGACCTTCTTTTGGCATTGATCTGGAGAGCGAAAATCCATGTACGAAAATGGGAAAGAAAATTCCTTCTAGTGCAATTTTGGATCCGCAATTTTCATGATTCGAGCGCTTTTTAATGAGCGGTGATTTTTATAGCTAGGTGAACATGAGGCGCGCTTTCATTTTTTTCTACTGCGAAAAATTACTTGCTCTTCTAAAATGTACTTCTTCTCTTTTTCATCATTGGTTTCATCCTTATGAAAGACCTTTAAGAGCATGTTTTTTGAAAATTTTTTAAAAAGAACGACAAAAGTGATATTTTTCACTGCAGGAGCTATTTTAATTTGTTTGCTTCATTGTCAATGCCATTGCTACTAACGTATTTTATTCGTCACGAAAGCTACGAAAAATTCTGGACGTACAGGAGAGGTCTTCAATTTTATTTATTTCAAGACTTGATTTTTTACGTACGGTAATTGAAATTATATAGCCCCGATGCACTAATTTATTCATAACTCTAGAACTATCAAATGCAGATATGTGATGAAATTTTTTTTCCTATTTCGGGAAACCCACTTCCAAGAAAATGAGGTGCTTTACGCTGCGTGGAAATTCGCCTTTGTTTTTTGTTTGATCAAATCACAGGATGATTTGAAGAACAACATCTGTTGTGACGAGAGCAATCAGGAGTGTGCCTTCATCCTGGCCCGCTTCCAAATCCTGGTGCTTGCAGTAAAAAAAATTGCAAATTTACTATACTTCAGGTAAAATTTTAAGCTGCTATTTCTGTTGATATGAAGCAGGAAACGTAAAAACAAACCTGCGTAATGCTCTTTTTTTCTTTCTTCGCCTCGTTTCATGCAAATTTTCAACTGCACACTATTTTAGGTAACACTGGAGACGGTATTAACTCGGTTGATATGAGGCAGGAAACGTACGAAAATTATATTTCATGATACATCTGTGCAATGCCCAAGTGTCTCTTTTCTTTCTCCTTCTCATAGCAGTCTCCATCATAACTCTACTTTATCAGGGTGAATGACATTCTGTTGTCTCTGCATTTTACTCCTCAGACACACACACACATTTTAGAACATCGCACTGAATTTTGAAAGGAATCAAAGTCCACTGGGACATAATCAACCCGCGTATTATGCCACAGAAAGCATTTGTTGGAATTTCGTCAGTAACATTGTGTTCCGCTTGTTCATTCAAGTGTGCGATCGCGAAGCATGTCATAAAAACATGTACGGAAGTTTCCTTAAAATGTCATTCCAGTTATCCCGTGTCCCGCCGCAAGGTCGAAATAAAAGTTCTATCATTGCCCACTGACTCACGCGAGAAAAAAAAATCGTGCAAAACGCCAATTGCATTCCGATGCTCCAATTGCCGCTAGGTATTGTGAAACTCTTGCATACATTCATTTATTTCCATAAGAAAGTATTGTACTGTACAATACTATATTTTGCCCTGTGTTGGCTTTTGTGAAAGAGACGACGATTCCGGAGTGAGTTCCGGCGTTAACAACGCAGTGATGTCATGTTCCGGAGTGTTGCTGAAATATGGATTTTCAACCTGTGGTTGATGAAACTTAATGCCTTTCACTGGGAACGCGAGATTTTATGATCGCAGAAACAGGCTCTTCAGAAACTCTTAATTGGTTCAAAAATTTGTCGAAAAATAATTAACAAGGAGAAGACAAATTAACATTTTCCGCAGTTGTATTGGGACAAGACCCACTCCAGAAGCTCCTGTGTGAGCGGAAATCTGAATGACGGAAGCACTTGGCGAAATTTCGCAAGAGTAATTGCAAATTATGTTGTTTTTGATTTGAGTCGAAGTACTGTGCTTGGAGAAATTGGACGCGAACACTTCCGTGTGCTGAACTTCTTACCCTCTCGAAAAAGGTTGAAGTGCCCGTTTTTATGCGTTTGAAATTGGTTTGTGTTTGTGTAGACCTATTCCTACGCGTTGAGATGTATTGAGCAAAAACACTGTTCAGTGCGGATCTGGAAAGGAAGTTTTGTGCGTGCAAGTGGCAAACACCGTGGTTTCATGCGCGGATTTTCATCAAACTCGGTTTTGATTAAAATCTTTTTCCTTGCATGCAGGACTGTGCATACTGAAAATATGACGTGTTCCGCTGTTTTGATTATATTTCTGAACTATCTGAAGCACAATTACATTCGAGTGATTCATTCAGTGGAAGTGTGTAGCGTCCAAGTGAAAATAACTGGCTTTGTGCTCAAATTTGGAGAAAGCTGGTCTGATTTACACTTTTCTTTTGCTTGCAGGTATACTTATACTGTACTGAGGACTGATGTGTTTTAGTCCGTGTTAAAACGTGTGTTGTTTTAGTCATATTTAGGAAACCGAATTCTTGAAGTGATTAATTTTATGAAAAGTGTCGGGTGTTCAAGTGACAAGAACCGTGGTTTCAAGCCCAGATTTTTGTCAATGTTTGTAAGGATATTTATTCTTAGACGTTATGTGTTCCGGTGTTTTAATCACGTTTTGAAAAAGTAATCCGTAGAGTGATCCATTCAGTCGAAGTGTGTGGTGTCCAAGTGACAAGAGTCGTGGTTTCATTCTCAAATTTGATCAAAGCTGGTCTGAGGAACATGTTAATTTATCTGTGCATGGATATTCATTCTGAGGACTTGAAGTTTTACGGTGTATAAATTTTATTCATGAAACTCTATTATCGAAGTGATCCATGTTATAGAAAATGTCGGCGTTTGAGTGACAAGAACCGCGGTTTCAAGCGCAATTTTGACCAAACCGTTGTGTTTAACATGTCTCTCGTTTTGCAGGAATGCGTAGGCTGAAGACTTGACGCGTATTTCGCCGTTTTAAATCCTATTTATGTTTTTCATGCGAGATTTAAATGGAGGAAGAACTGCGGTGCCCGGCGTGTAAACAGCTTTTCGCTAATCCCGTGCTGTTGCCCTGCTGGCATGCCGTCTGTCTCAACTGTGCGGCGAACTTGCAGCGCGTCGGCGACTTGCCCGCGCCTCACACTTCCACGACACTCGTGTCATCATCAGCCGCCGTCGTCGCCGGGGACTCTGGCTCTTCCAGCTCAGAATGCGACAGCGTGTCGCTGTGCTCGGAAAACGACAGCGGCGTCTGGAGCTTTGGCCGCTCCGTCTCGTCGTCGACATCATCATCGACCTCGTCGTCGACATCAACGTCAACGTCGACCAACAGCCCGGCCATTGGTCTCTCGTGTCCCGCGTGTCGGAAGCCGGTGTTCTTTGACCGACTCGGCGCTCAAAACCTGCCCAAGTACCGCGTCATGCAGCGAGTGGTGGAGCGGTTTGAAGAGTCGCGCGGACTGAGTGCCAAGTGTCAAATGTGCGAGGACTCGGCGAGGGACGCCGTCGTGATGTGCGACACGTGCGAGGTGTTTTATTGCGGCGAGTGTTGTGGACGGTGTCATCCGGCGAGAGGCCCGTTGGCCCAGCACGTGTTGGTGGAGGCCAAGGAGGGGCGTGGTAGGATTCGGGCCAGGGCCCGTGGGGTGGCAGCGGCGTGTACGGAGCATCCCGGGGACGCCCTCACGCACTATTGCATGGTGTGTCAGGTGCCGTTGTGTGCGTTTTGTTTGCAGAGCGGGTTGCATGCGAGGCACGACGTGCAGCTCTTGGCTGGAATGTGCAAAGCTCAAAAGGTGAGTACTGCGCTGTACTAATTACTGAAAACAGTAGAACCCTCGAATCTCTTTCAAGTTCAATACAGTCGAACCTCTTTCAAGTCAAATTTCAAGGGACCAGCAAAAAAAAAATCGCTTTGGGGAGGTTTCGAGTTGGGGAAACGAGCATTTTTTTGTTGCGGGGAAACGTGAAATAATTGCAGGAAATTGTGAATGGAGATATTGTCGGCCTTAACTTGCTTCTTACGTGAGTTTGCAGAATGCTGAACTTGAAGGGAGGGGTTCATTTGCGCAATCAATCTTTCCTTTTCTTTTCGAGGCACGTCAATTTACTTGTTTTATTACACTTTTCTCTTCCATATGTCAAGGAAATCATAGCCAAAAGGCCTCAAAAATTCGATTTACGGAGGTTTGAGAGGAAAAGACTTTGAGTTATGGAGGTTGTTGAAGCTTAGGGAATTCAAACAGAGACTTGAACAAAATTTGATTTAGGGAGTTATTAGACTTTCGGAGGTTCGACTTTTCAAGGTTCAACTGTACTTCCCTATGTAAAAGTTTTTCTTCAAGTCCATTCCTGATTCCCCGTAGAGACAATTTATTAAAGACCCCCTTAACTCTAAAGCTTTCCTTCTCAAATCTCCGTAACTCGAATTTTATGGAGGCTCTTTGGCTAATATGTTATTGACACAGGAAAGAGAAAAGCTATGAAAATGTGACTTGATGCGTTTTGAAAGGAAATGGAAGAACAATCCGGCGAAATACCCACATTTTGTCGAGTACCGCGCGCACATTTTTTTCTCAATATTGAAAGGAAAAAGGTAGTGGACGTCTTATATCGGCGGGTGAACATTTCTCAAAAAGTTTTGAAGTTCATTATGCTTTATGCATGTTTGCATAACCGCTGTGTCATCAACTCATCAATAAGGGACATGAAATAGAGTCTATGAAAAGCTGCTTGAAAACTGTACAAAGATTTTCAAAATTAGAGCATTTTATTTTGTCGGAACGTGGTTGTAAGATCTACAAAATCCAAGATGGATGCCTTTTTTCTGCTAATCCAATCCACGAATGGAAAAAAAGTACTGTAGTAATGTACCCATCTCGGAGCTTCGCAGGCTTTCTTGATGATAGAGGTCAGAAATGAGCGTGTTGGTGTAATTTTTATTTGTAGGTCGTGTATTGTGGGCAGAAAATTACCCGTAAAATATTTACGAAAGTACCGCGCGCACCGAAATTTAGGGCCGGAATAATATCAGAGGTGATTCCTTGAACTCGCATTGCCGTACAGGGATGTGCTGAAATTTGTGGCGCGCCCCGATTTCGGAAACCAAATCCCGAAACAATGTTGCGTGCGGAATTTAAGTAAATTGCATGTTCATTCTGCTTACATAGGAAGTTTTATCTGGAGCTGTGAAAGACGAAAGGTAGTACAGTAATCGGAAGAAAAAAACATGAGATAATTCAGGAGAGGAACCCAGCTGTCATTATATCATGCAAGTCATACAAGTTAATCCCACTCGTGTTTCTATGTTTAACCGAAGCTTGAAAAGATTGAGCGTCATAAAGGATACTTATTTCGATGAATGAAGTTTTTTAACACATGAAGAACCGGTGCTCAGAACACGAAGAATCTGTCTTGAATCGAACCATTCCGAAATGATACAGCATGAACAAACCAAAATTTTTAAAATGTAACAAGCACCATTTATGTAATGGTGAAGGAAATTGTCGAGTCGAGAATACTGGGTCGGAAAGGTTAAAAACCAGATTCACGGAAAATGTACATTGACCTAATTTGACGACTTTTCTGCATTTTGTTCTTATTTTTTTCAACCAGACGGAACTGTCCACTTGTTTGCAGCAGTTGTCTGAGAGGGCAAAAACTGCGACGGAAATGATACAAGCGTTGAAAATGAATGCCGAGAATATTTTGGTTGGTATTCGATATAATTTATCATTTCGAAATTTTTGCATATTTTCGAAATAACGCTTTTTTATTGCTTGTTCAGGATCGCGGCGATGATTTCGAAGCAGCTGTAAGGTCTCAAATTGATTTGCTCGTCGAAGCTTTGTATAGAAGGAGGGATGAACTTATTGAATACGTTCATCAAGAAAAACTCTCAAAGGTTCAGCAACTGAAACAAAGTGCAGCCAAGTCGACTGCCAAGTTGCAGCAGACCACGGGTTTGATTCAGTTTTCTATTGAAGCTCTGAAAGAAACTGATCCTACAGCATTCCTACAGGTGAGTTACAATCTGATCTCACTGGCGTTCGTATGAAATTTTCGAATTTTTCATGTGTACGTTTCAATTGCTGTACATTATTATGTAGGTGGGGAACATGTTGGCGCATCGTGTTTCAACTGTTGAAATGAATTGGGTGAAGGACACCTGCGAAAACGGGAAACTTACGACTCTAGTCAATTCTGCTGGCCTGGACCTTGATCTGTCCCTGGATAGCGGTCCACTTATCAAAGCTATTCAGCTCCTCAACTTTGTGCAACTGAAACGTAAGTTTGTTACCCATTTTACTACTATTTTGCTTTGTTGCCATCGATGAAACAAGTTTCCTTTTTTTTTTTTTACTTCGTCGATCGAGGGTCGGAAACGGGTGATTTTACTGACCATCACCTGGATATTGTTGCTTTTTCATCATCCCTGTGAGGTTGTTTCAAAATGTGAACTTGTGCACTATTCGGCAAGTTCGAATATCTGGTAGTCAGTTCAGTTTTGTGGGGTGTAGGCGACTCCCGTTTATTCTCGAAATTACAACAATATTGGACGTGAAACTGTGAAGGACTTAATTAGTCGAAGTATTTTTTCAATGCATACAATTTTTCCAATTCGAAAAGGAAAGTAGTCGAATTAATTTTTTTCAATACATACAGTTTTTCCGATTCGAAAAGGAAGATTAAAAGGACAGTATTTAAATACCCACTGTATTTACTGATGTGTGAATTTTATTTGCATATTTCAGCCCCGGGAAAGCCCAAATTTGCTATTGAAGACTGTGTTGGAGAGAACAATTGCATCACTGTGGCCTGGACGCCCATGTCACTTGTCAAAGGATATATTTTGGAAGTGGACGACGGAAACAGTGGTCCATTCAGAGTGGGTTTCTTGTCGTGTCTTAATTATTGTGGCGTTCAAATTTTGAAATAAACGTTGTTGCTTTTTTTTTTTTAGGAAGTGTACTGCGGGGAAGACACAGTTTGCACTGTGGATGGCTTGCATTTTTGCTCAGTTTATATTGCGAGGCTGAAAGCCTTTAACGCCTCTGGAGAAGGACCGTATTCTGATCCAATTTGTCTGCAAACAGCTGAAGGTGAGCCGAAATAAATATCTCCGGCGATTATCGGAAGCAAGTTAGCATATCTTAAATGAGAGGCATCCGTTGAATTTATTCTTTTCCCTCGAAGAATGCAAAAGGAAGTTCAAAACAACACCGTATTGTTGTTAGGTTTTGCGAACATTTTCGGTAACAGAAGATTTTTGTTCGAATTTTAATTTAATTTTGTTTTCCGTATATTTTATTTTATTCTGAACATGGTTCTGTTTTTATGTGATGTCAATAAAAAGTATTCATGTTGGACAGGAAATAAATCGTTTACAAGATATAAGAAGAATTTAAATGAGAATTATTACGTATTCAACGTTACTTAAATGAAAAGAAGGAAGTTCAGAAATATGTTTTCCTGGTCCGGTTCGCAATTCACTCAAATTTTTTGGCATGGTACGGCTTTTCTCGAGTAAATGTAGATCTTTTTTTCATTTGAAGAGGTTATGTTGAAAAAGCAGAATGTGATGGAGTTAAATTTAAAACAGGCAGAGACTTCCTAATTTTCGTGATCTTTTTTTGCGAGTTACATTTCTTAGCTTCCATCAGTTTAAAGTTTGTGATCGTCCAAAGTAATGTATGCGGTATTTTCTTGAATGATGAATTCATTCGAAGAATTGAAAATACGGTAAATTCGATAGTTGAATCTTGACCTGAATCTTCATAGACTTTTGTTACGTACGTGAATTAAATCAAGTTGGATGAAAGTTTATGCAGAGTCGATTTTTCGAATTCTGAAGAGTGTCGTAGAATCATATGTAGATGACTCGAAAGTGTGAGTCTGTCGATGTTTTACTTGGAATATTCTTGAATTTGACGTGAACCAAAGAGAGAGCTATCCTGTAAAACTCTTCTCGAAATGCATAAACCAGAAGCCCTATTTTTCGGGTGTCGAGATAGTGTTTCTCTTGAAAAGTTTTTCTTGCGAAATCTGCTCGAGGTCAGTGTAAAATCTGGCCGCAATTTTCATTCGTCCATTCGCATCGTCTGAATGCTAATGAAGTATCTTTTTTTTTTTCAGTGGCTTCCTTCTCGATGGATGCGACGAATGCTCATCCGGACATTCATCTGAGCCCAGACCTGAACACTGCAAGCTGCGGCAGTTTTGAGCACAGAGTCGTTCTCGGTTCACTCGGCTTTTCGAGAGGCGTACATTTCTGGGAATTCACTGTCGATAAATACGACGGGAATGCGGATGTTGCGTTTGGAATTGCACATGCCGGCGTCGCGAAAGACGCCATGTTGGGTAAGCAAAGTTGGCTTGGATCACGGTTCTTTACGTTCTCGTCGAGGTTTCGGTTTCCCACGACCCCATGATTTGTTTTCCCGCCCGTTTATGTAGGGAGAGATGAACTCGGCTGGAGCATGTACGTAGATGGGAAGCGATCATGGTTCGTTCACTCCGACAAGCATGCTCAACGTGTAGACGGAGGAATCGAACAATCCTGCACCGTGGGAGTCTTGTTGGACTTGATCCAAGGACATCTGAGTTTCTATATCAACGAGGAACCCCAGGTTAACGCATTATACGTGATTACTTCGACATTTTCCTTAATTACGCACTTGTACAGTACCGGACAGCATTTGCTCGAGTACTACGCGCACCTTTTTTCTCAAAAGTGAAAGGAAAAAGGGGGTGCGCATCTTAGCGGGTATAAATTTTTCCAAAAAGTGTAGGAGATTTGTGCATTATACAGCACTTGATACTAATGGGAAACTTTGATCAATTTTTTGAGAAAAAACTTTTTGCATTGGAAAAGTACAGTATTGAAAATTTAGTCGAGTTAAGGTTCAATTTCTGTCTGACTTCAAATTTAGGTGGTTGATGTTTTTTTGAAATTTTTCAGTTTTAGAGTCACTAAAAATGGGGTGTGCGTCTTACTCGAGGATATAAATTGATAAAAATGTTACACTGAAAAACCTGGGTGCGCTTCTTACTGAAGGGCACGTGATACTCGAGTGAATACCTGCTTATATAATTTTTTAGAGAATTTCATCGTTTGTTTGAGGAAAAAAGCAATTTTTCCTTATGCTGAAAAATTAATTTCTCCTTGGTCAGTTTTGTTCTTTTATGCCAAAATCAATATTCTACTTATTCTAGGTGAAATTGTTCGTTAGGTGCGTGAAAGATGTTATTTCAGGAGTTATCGAATTTTTGGACCAATACACTGTTTTCGAATTTCTTGATATGTAAAAAAGCTCCTAGGTGAATTCTTCATTGAGATCTATATTAATTATCGTCTTTATCAATGTCAAATGGAATTTAATAATTTTCGAAAAATTATTAAGGGAAGAAGAAAATATTCATGATTTTCCTTTGATGATCTTAAGAATATAAAAGTTTTGAAAGTTGAAAGTATTTCCCAGTTCGAATAAACTAAAAAGTGTTATTTTTGCTTTGCAAAATTCTTATCGTTTTTCTTCAATTTTAGGGAGGAGTGGCGTTTGAGAATCTGCAAGGAGTCTTTTATCCCGCTGTGAGCATCAATCGAAATGCAGTCGTCACGATCCATACTGCGTTGGATCCGCCTTCCAGTCACAGCAGTGACTCTGAAGGACAATAGTGACGATGCTCCAGACCAGTGGATAGTTCTCAGATCCCCTTGGTAACCTGCCCAAACATATCCATTCAACATTTTCACTGGACGGATTCCATGATTTTTGCGGGGAATGGAATCAATTGATGAATCTCATCTTTAAAAATGTCTAGTTCTTGTTTGACTTAGTTGGATAGAAAAAGAACAAACCGTGGATAAGCTTTGCCAAATCGAGATCACGTGACAAAAGCTCCTGGGTTGATTGACGATGGAAAATTTCCCATGAATCGAATGAAATGACGCATTTCCTACTGTGCACAGAAACGACGCCTTCCTGTTTCCGCGTATGTTTATTTGAAAGCATCGATCGTCTCAGGAAACTCGTGTGGTTCCGGGAAAAGCTTTCTTGTCTCCGTCTTCATTGCCTTAGGGGTAATTTTTCCACCCCATATTTTCAGCTCAATGGACACGTTCCTCCTCACCTTGCTTTCTGCGATGAGAGACATTGAGATTTTTCTACAGAATCGAGTTTTTCAACTGCTTCCTTGAGAAATTTTGATACTCGGATTTATCGGAATACCAAAAAAAAAATGATCTGTGGGTCAAGCGGAATGTAGGATATCGGAACAAGTAGTATTCAAGGCATTATAAAGCATTTTTTTTGCTTTTGGAACGATTCCCAATTGTAAAATGGATCCTCGTAATACTCCGAAGGACATTTTTTTTTTAGCGCGAGTATTTTTTTTTCTCCGAATCGTGCAAAAGTTGTAAATATGCTTGGGATCAGTGATTTTGTTTTTTTAGTTGCTCCGACCGAATAGGTTTCGTTCACGGTTTTTCGGTGACGTGGCTGTATTATGACCCGACTTGCGTTCAATGCATTTCTTCGGCAGCTTTTAGACTCTTCGATGATTTTGCTGATTTATTTGCGTATGCGAATTTGAGTTGGAGAAAGAACATTCATATCTGGGACGCTGATGTTTATTATGTGTCTCCCGGAATTCAAAGGCGTTCAGAATTTTTCGATTCTATAAAATGTTAACTGGTCTGTAATCTACATTGTGGATGTGCCCACTTCGTTAATTGCAGTGAAGATTTTTTTTTTAGTGCGGTTAGATGTCGCACTCAATCACAGTTCAATTTTATTTCTGCAACGAGCCATACCAAATTCTATCTGCTGATGGGTTTAACTTTCGCATTCCTGATTATTGCCTTTTATCGGGTTCTCAGTTGGTTTGTTTTATCGATTTTTTTTTATTATTATCTTACAGGCTGAAATTTATCGTGTCAATTCTTGATGTACAGTGCTCGGTCCAAATTTTGATAAATTTCCCGTGAAATTTTGGGCAAAGTGAAGATAATTTCTTAAACTATATAAAAGTATCAAGGCCATATCGTTTGTATGGGATTCACAAATATGCCGTCTTATGAAAGAAGAACGTCTCAATATCGGTAGGCTTTTTTGTTGTTGCCCAGAACTCTCTACATCATTGATTTCGTCCCAAATCAAGGAAGATTTTGAACGCCTTGATGACAGTCTAGTTACATACGGATGAATTCTGCATGCTTCTTTATTGATTTATTCGCAGTATTTTCAGGCACGCTTTTGTAATATCTCCTTCGCATGGCGGATTACGATGTACCGCCACAGAGGCGAGCCGAATTGCCTCCCAAGAGTGTAAGCCGCTTGAATCGCTGTGAACGTAACCCTTTTTCTCAGTACACTAGATGCTGGTTTTGTATTTCAGGGCTTCGGTTACGCTCGAGCTTTATATGACAACATCCCGGACAATGAAGGTGAATTGGGTTTCAAAAAAGGTGATGTTCTCAGAGTGCTCTTGATGCCGGTTGACAGACAAGGCTGGTGGAAATGTTCTTTGAACGGGATGGAGGGATTGTGCCCCGGAAACAGACTGCAACTGCTTGCAGGGAAATCCGGGGCTGAATCTGGTCCTGCCTCCCAGGCATGTTCCATTTTATTTCACCATCATTCATTGCGAGGAGTTCTCGGAAAGGAAAGGGAATTATTTGGATAAATGTCATTTTAGTCGTATTAAACATGCGTAGCCATCGATTAATATCGAAAGCTCTCCAAGTCATTTACTTTTGTGAATTATTGCCTCCTGCTTGTCATGAAATGCGTGTTCTTCATGAATGAACAAAAACTTCCTTAGACTAAAATGACGTTCTGAGAGTCTTCGTTTTTCGGATGTGTTCTTGTTCCTAAATTGTTTTACTCGTTTTTTTTTTCAAACATGAAATGTAAAAGACGAGCAGTTGAGAGCAGCAAACCTGGAAGATAATTGTGTCATAAGATTATCAAATTGTGAACTTCTCTATAGTTTCAGAGCCATGGTTATTTTTTCAAAGACTTTTTCATGACCAAACATGAATCTACATGAGAATCTTTCCGCAATGGTACCGTATTTACTGGAGTACCACGCGCCCTCAAGTAAGACTTCCATCCCAAATTTTCACCCTAAAGTTTTGATGGAATCCTATCCCCAAGTAAGCCCCACACTCCAGTTTTAGTGACTGGAAAACTACAATACATTACTGTACTGTACTATATTTTGAAAATAAAGAGACCCCGGAAATGCCAGAATTCATTTTAGCATGAAGTCAACCTGAATTCAATTATTTTTTGATTTTTTTAAAGTTCCTCTCACAAATTGCCATTTTATTTCAGCTTTTCGTGTTTTTTTGAAACATTTTTTTAAATTATATCCCTGTCAATGACATTTCACCCTCATTTCCTCTCAATTAAGAAAAAGGGTACTTGGGCAAATACGGTATTTCTGAAATTCTCGTTTTTGATGAATCTGCATACATGTTAGAATTGATGAGGAATTATCAAGTATGTCACTGATTTTTATGTTTCGATGAATAGTATCCTTGAATCAAGGGAAGTACTCTACGGAAGTCTAAAATGATTGCAAATCTTACTGCGAAAAGTTGAAGCTCCATAGTATATTTCTTTTTTTCGGTGCAGGTTGATGTTCAGGCTCCATTTCCAAGGAAGCCTTCGCCGGCAAATAGACAGGTAATGTCCCAGTTCGAGGATTATGACTACCCGAAGACTCGAACTGTGGTGGAGGCAAGCGCTGATGATGGCCCTGTGGAAGACTATGACACTCCACAGCCTGTGAAGTCCGTTTTTGCTGGAGATCCTGTTCGTGGCCTGCCCTCGGATCGAGAAGAAAGTTCAGATTTTTCCGTTTTCGCGGGGGATCAGATGTCCAGAGCTGATTATGACGTGCCTTTGAACAGGGATGAATATGATCATGAAGTGAATTGGTGAGTTGAGTTTACTATGAAAGACAAATTTATCTTATTGCGATTTTCAAGATTTAATGCCGCAAAGCGCGAAGACTTTATCTGGGAGTATGTTCGCAAGGGTTAACCAGAAGATGTTGAAGTACTCTTGAAGCAGCAATAATATATAGCTGATGGAAAACAATTATAAAATATGTGTGCAGTACAATTGAAGAGAAATTTAATTGATTTTGAGCCCACAGCGAGCTTTTCTGTGGGGTCAGTTTTTGAAAATTGAACATTGGTCTAATGTTTTTGGGCACCCTTTATCTATTGGATTTTGTAAATGCAGTACGGGAAATCCGCGTGACTTTCGTAAAATTCAGATGCTGTAATTTTTTCTCTCGCATTTACCGTTGAGTTTAAATGTATGTTCAGAGCCTTCATGGATTTTTTTTTTAATTTTCAGTTTTAAAATTTGAGCAGTATTTTTGTCCCAGTTTGTGCGGAAAATGTCATTGTGGTAAGTAGTGTGTGCTTGAGAATATTTTCATTGGTTCAGAAATATTGAGACTTCAGAAACACATTTCACTTTTGGTTTGTTACAATCCTCACCTCAGCGTTTGGGATTTTCACTTATCGCGACTTGTCAAAGTTCAAGTGGAGTCCAGGAAGTGGGCCAAGATTCGTTTCTATTCGATTCTAATTTTTGTTTCATTTTATTCCCATTTCAGCTCCCTTGGATCATCTGTCTCCTCCATGAGCCTGAATACGAGCTCAAGGCGTTCCATATTACATTCTCCTCTTGGTCTTTCTCCAATTGATCGCTTGATGGATCCGAAGGACTCAAAACTGATTTCTTACGTTTCGAGTCAAGCTGGTGGTGTTACAGCTGATCTTTTGCGTGCTCGTCATGCCTTGGGGGCTTCGGCTGCGAGAGGTAAACCACCTCCGGTGATGGTGTTGGATGCAAAGGACGTTGTGTTGGCTGCGCACAAGGGACTACAGCTGGCCTGTTTGCTGGCCAGAAGGATTCAGTCGGAGACGATTGTTCAGTATTCTACTGAAGTTTCTGATCAGTTGTTGAAGTGTATTAAAGACATCAAGGAGTGCGCTGATAATGTGGAGAGGTATTTTCCGAGTGCCCCAGTGGTGAACCAGCTTGTTTCCCAAGCAGAGAAGACAGTGAATGTGTTCAAGGAGTTTGCGGAAGTGTTGGTTGAAGTTTCGAGTCCAGAAGAGGGTCAGTGAATATTTATGGAAATTTTAATACTCCTGCGTGAGGGACCAACGTCATCTGTGAACTTGCTTCCGTCTTCTGAGAAATACGGCAACATTTTGCAGGCTCTGCTCAGTTTTTATATTTTACTTTTATTAGAATTTCATGTTAAGGGGGTTGCAATTTGTTTTTAAAATTTATTGATTTGGACATTCTCTGAGTGCGAGGGAAAATAGTTTTTTAAACCTTTTTCTTTCTTGGAAATAATTTTGCCCCACCCGCCCAATTTTCACTGAAAAATTTTTAGTTCTAGTATTAGCTTGGCCTTGATACATAAGAGTACAGTAGTTCTAATTTTAAAGAAGCGCAATTTTTTGCCCGATTTTGCCGGTAGGTTGTTCCAACTTCCAGGTGATTTTATATGGATAGGTAATTTTTCTCTTGTGCAGCACAGATATGCCTTTGTGGATTGAGTGCCTTGTTTGTGAAGGACTGGTTAACATGAGCTTTGAAAGGATGAAGACAACTTCCAAGGATTCATTTTTCTTTCAAGGAATTTTCTTCGCTTATCTTCAAAATTCACTCAGCAGACGGACAGTTCTGAACACTTGTCTCAATCACCCTCTGGAAAGGAGTGCAGCCGGATGTTCTGCAATTCCGCCGAACTGTTTCACAAACGCCTCCACTGAACCTTCCGGGTCAGTCTTGTGCATCAAGAAGAAACCTTGCAAAAATGCAGGAGAGAGTTTATTGGTTGCATCTGAGGCAGCCACAACGCGTTCAAATCTGCCTGCCAATCCAGCAGCTGCATCTGGGTAAAAGTTGTTGAACATGGCTGCAGCCTGCTCTGGTGAGCAGTATCCGACAAACTCTTGCACATCTACACGTCCTGGTCGAATGAGCGCAGCATCCAGCCGTTCTTTGTAGTTGGTGGTCATGAACAACAGACGGCCTTCAGAACTCGCCACGCCATCCAAAGCGTTCAAAAGGCCACTCAATGTCAGTCTGCTTAGGCCCTCAAAGGCGGCACGAACTGGGGATAAAAATCAAAATCGCATTGAATAATGTCATTACAGGAACCGGGCAGTGAAAAATCCTTTATTGATCCCAGACTCGAATAGCATTTTGGTTTTATGTCGAGATGTAGTTCATTACTTAAAAAATAATCAAAAATAAAAATAATTGATGCAACGAGATCTATCTTATGTTATACATGGTGGCTAATGAAACAGTTCTTGAAAATTCAAAGCTATCAGATAGAGAAGGATACTGAAATTTAAACAACAGCCAGAATCAGATGTTTCCATCATGTTTCATGCCTGAATGCACTTGGTAGCTATAAGCACAAATCTAGAGACACGGAATCTGAGATTGCAAAAAGTTGAATCTTAATATTTTCTTCTCTCAAAAAGGACCTCATACGAGATATTGTGGGTGGAAGACGTGTCATTTTTTGTCTCATCCGATGCATAGATTTCTCACCATTGGGAGATTCTTCCCGACTGACAAAAGCTGCATCAATATCCTCAAGTAGAATGATCGACTGCTCCGGGGCCACCGCCAACAAGTGATTGAGGCGATCGTCTGATAAACCTCGTTCACTGAGATTCAGAACGCAAATCCCGTACTCCAGTGCACCAGCTAAGGCGAATATAAAGCTCGATTTTCCGCAACCAGGTGGTCCGTACAAAAGGTATCCTCTCCTGTACGGGATGCCTTGAATAAGGAGAAAAAAATCAACGGATCAAGCATCTTAATTAACGCGCTACTTGCATTGTGAAAATTATTTAAGAAATTTGACAGAGAACAGCCTAAGAAATATATTCCTTTCAATACGTAGTGAAAACATCAGCTGGATTCTAGAGAATACACATCTTATCTGGTAATTAGCACAGTAGAATGTCGTAACAAATTTCAGTCACAAAAAAAGCCTTTTCCTAGGTCCCAATGGCTTTTTTTGAATAACTGTATAACTCGGGATTTTTCAATAGAAGAGTCACACTTCAAGAATGATTCCACCTTTATACTCAGTAAGAAGTTTAAGAAAGAACAAGAAGTTCAAGTTCAAGAATAACAAGTTTAAGAAGTTTGTACAAAGACTTTTCATCGAAATTAAAAAATTAGACGTTAAATGTTTTTTCTGCCTTCTTATAACTACGTCTTTTTTATGTAGTACAATAATACATAAAAAATAGGGATTCCCTTAAGTCTGTCCGACTTGAAAAAAAAATCCACTTAGGGAGGAATTTGACTTAGAGAGGTTTGTCTTATTGAGGTTCACCTGTACACAGTACAGTTGATAAAAACTGAAAATTAAATTAATTTAGTAAATGTTTTGGGATGAATTGAAGAAGTGCGGCCAAACAACAAAAACGTCGACTGCGCAAATGACACATGACAGTTGCAGATAACTTTCCGAATCCAGAAGACTCTTGTCTGATTTAATTAGAGCTTTTCTGAAAACTCCCGAAAATGGTCTTTCTAGCATAAAGATAAACGAAATTTCATATTGCCTATTATTACGCAATCAACTTCGTGCACCATTCTCAAGATGAAATTGTTGCACGCTCGATCTCACCTCTATCACTGTACCACGCAGGGTTCGCAATAAACTCCTTCACGTCCCCCAGAAGTTTCTCGGAAACGCCGTCGGCAAGAACGACGGATTGCAGAGGTCGTCGCTTTTTCGGTTGTCCCAACTGCCGCCATTCGGAACCCATTGGTCACATGTAGTGCCACGCAGGAACCATGAGAAGGTCCCGATAAACGGAGCGACATACGTCACGTTAGGTTAGGTAGGATTGTTAGTTAAGCCGGCACGGAAGAATAAGATAAGAATGTAAAAACGACAAATTGTTTCAAGCGTTTATGAAACAAATCTCTCGGAAATTAAAGAGTCAAGTGATGGAGGGGAAACACTTTTTAAATGTACAATCTTCATTCATCAGGTCACCAAGTGTTTCGAATGAACCTCTATTTCGAAGCCAAGACTAATGAATTTGAATTCTGTAATAGCAATTTGAAAAAAATTCAAACACGTGTAAACATGTTGAAAAACTACCGCACTGCCATGTTTTCTGTCCATTTCATACACGGTAGTACATTAGATAGAATTTCGTCAGCGCTTACCATCTTCCAAAATTTCGAAGTACAGCTGTCGATCCCGACCAAGTGCAGTCAATGTAACTGTTTCGAAGGGAATGCCTTGATGCAGATCTATAGTCGACTGTTCTCTTGTTCTTTCCACGCGAATCCATCGGTTATGGAACCTAAACAAACAAGAAGGGAGAATGCATTTATTTGTAGCTTCAAAAAGGAAGGAAAAATGAGACATACATTAGTGTTTTTTCCACAATTGATTCAGACTATTACATAAAGCCGTACATCATAGCGAATAATTTAACTGCAAGCCAAAGATGTTTCCTTATCCCTTGCTATACTTCCATAACTGTCCGAATTTTTTATTCTATCACATTTCCTTTGCCTTCATTCTAAAGACATAAACTTCCTCATAAATCCCTTCAATAGTAAATTATACGAGGGCTGTCCCAGTTGGACGCGACCTCTGATATTTTTAGAATACTTAGGTGTGATTTAAAAAAAAAAAAAACATGACAGACCCCAAGATGCTCTAAGGTTCTGAGGGTTTCGGATTTTAAAAAAGTTTTTAAATTCACTGAATGATAAGAGAAAACTTTCCAGTTACAGCCAGAGTTCTCCATTACCCATGTCACAGGGTACCAAAAATTTGTCCGGCTAGCTAAAAAATTGAAATTTTATCCATTGTTTTATTAATTAATGTTTCTACATTTTTAGATAACGGTTAAAACGACATAAGAATCCCAGAAGCTCAGAACATCCTGGGCTAAATCTTTTTTTTAATCACGCCTCCCCTAAAAATATGGGGTCGTGTCCAACTGGGACAACCCTCGTATTTAATACAGTATCATAATTTAATATAAAATATATTCTCCATAAGTCAATAGATAGACACTCTGTCGTGGATCAAAGATTGAGTGAATCCGTCTTCACCACTTTTCTCGACGATCCCATGTTTGAAAATCTGAGAATATTAATGCAGTATCGCATCACGATTACCTGAAAAAATGCACCCCTATGCTAGGAATGAAATCGTANTAACATGTTTCTGAAAAGTAGCTTTAATTTTTTAATCTGCAATTTACAAAAAAGACGGAAGAATATTGATGCAGAAAAAATACATCATGTTATTATGTATTTTTTATCCCTAAGGGAATTCAGACAGGGACTTGAAAAAAAAATCCACTTAGGGAGGAATTTGACTTAGAGAGGTTTGTCTTATTGAGGTTCACCTGTACACAGTACAGTTGATAAAAACTGAAAATTAAATTAATTCAGTAAATGTTTTGGGATGAATTGAAGAAGTGCGGCCAAACAACAAAAACGTCGACTGCGCAAATGACACATGACAGTTGCAGATAACTTTCCGAATCCAGAAGACTCTTGTCTGATTTAATTAGAGCTTTTCTGAAAACTCCCGAAAATGGTCTTTCTAGCATAAAGATAAACGAAATTTCATATTGCCTATTATTACGCAATCAACTTCGTGCACCATTCTCAAGATGAAATTGTTGACACGCTCGATCTCACCTCTATCACTGTACCACGCAGGGTTCGCAATAAACTCCTTCACGTCCCCCAGAAGTTTCTCGGAAACGCCGTCGGCAAGAACGACGGATTGCAGAGGTCGTCGCTTTTTCGGTTGTCCCAACTGCCGCCATTCGGAACCCATTGCAGTGTACATCACGGTGCGTCCTTGGTACTCTTCCAGGGCTATTTGCCTCGCTGTATGCAGTGCAATCCAATCCATCCTAACAATCAATTCGGCCGTGCCTTCTTATTCTATTCTTACATTTTTGCTAAAATTGTTTCAAGCGTTTATGAAACAAATCTCTCGGAAATTAAAGAGTCAAGTGAGGGAGGGGAAACAGTTTTTAAATGTACAACATTCATTCATCAGGTCGCCAAGTGTTTCGAATGAACCTCTATTTCGAAGCCAAGACTAATGAATTTGAATTCTGTAATAGCAATTTGAAAAAAATTCAAACACGTGTAAACATGTTGAAAAACTACTGCACTGCCATATTTTCTGTCCATTTCATACACGGTAGTACAAAGGCATTAGATAGAATTTCGTCAGCGCTTACCATCTTCCAAAATTTCGAAGTACAGCTGTCGATCCCGACCAAGTGCAGTCAATGTAACAGTTTCGAAAGGAATGCCTTGATGCAGATCTATAGTCGACTGTTCTCTTGTTCTTTCCACGCGAATCCATCGGTTATGGAACCTAAACAAACAGAGGGAGAATACATTTATTTGTAGCTTCAAAACGCACGAAAGATGAGACATACATTAGTTTTTTCCACAATTGATACCGACTACTGTATTACATAAAAAAGCCGTACATCATAGCGAATAATTCAACTGCATGCCAAAGATGTTTCCGTATCCCTTGCTACGCTTCCATAACTGTCTGAATTTTTTATTCTATCACATTTCCTTCGCCTTCATTCTAAAAACATAAACTTCCTCATAAACTCCTTCAATAGTAACTTATGCGAGGGCTGTCCCAGTTGGACGCGACCTCTGATATTTTTAGAATACTTGGATGTGATTTAAACAAAAAAACATGACATAGCCCATGATGCTCTTAAGGGTCTGGGAGTTTCGGATTTTTAAAAAGTGTTTCAATTCACTGAATGATAAGTGAAAACTTTCCAGTTACAGCCAGAGTTCTCCATTACCACATGTCACAGGGTACCAAAATTTGTCAGGCTAGCTAAAAAATTGAAATTTTATCCATTGTTTTATTAATTAATGTTTCTACATTTTTAGATAACGGTTAAAACGACATAAGAATCCCAGAACCTCAGAACATCCTGGGCTAAATCTTTTTTTTAATCACGCCTCCCCTAAAAATATGGGGTCGTGTCCAACTGGGACAACCCTCGTATTTAATACAGTATCATAATTTAATATAAAATATATTCTCCATAAGTCAATAGATAGACACTCTGTCGTGGATCAAAGATTGAGTGAATCCGTCTTCACCACTTTTCTCGACGATCCCATGTTTGAAAATCTGAGAATATTAATGCAGTATCGCATCACGATTACCTGAAAAAATGCACCCCTATGCTAGGAATGAAATCGTAACGTGTGACGATTTTTCCGCTAGTCGCTTCTTGGAACTTGGTGGCCACACTCAAATGCTGCGTCTTCCTCGCACCTTTCACAGTAATCCACCGCAACAACCAATCGTAGCTTTTATCGCGACATGGCACCTGGTGCAAAAAAGAAAAATGTATGCACAAGCGCTGAAAACAATCGAAGTTTTATTCCGGATGATCGCAGAATGGGTATTTTTTACAATGAACTCCGGGTGCCACCGATTTTTGCTTCAGACATTGCCCTGCTTTGAATGATACTGTAAAAAATCTAAAATATTAAGATTGCAAACAATCGAAGTAACTGTAGGAAATTTAATCACCAGCAGCATTTTCAGGAAAATAATTATTTTTGAAAATTACTCCTGATCGTGTTGATCATAGTTTTCCTTGGATGGAACAGATTGGTCCTTCACACAGAATCAATTACATGATTGCGTCCATGATTTTCCAAATAAATTGTAGCTAAAAACTCGTAACTACTAACGGAAAACGAGTGATAATCGATAGAACTGCTGGCGAAGACAGGTGCGAATCCCTTCGGCAATTTTAGTGAAGTCGTGGGAAAAACGCCAGGCAAAAGTTTTTGCGGCAGGAATATTTCAAACATCTTCATATAGCTTCACTTTTCAGAAAATCCTCAAATAATTGCCAACTGTACAGTATCTCATCTTTCATAGTGATTCGATGGAATTCAATTGTGCTTTTCAACAAAAATTGGAGCTATCATAGGATATGTCACTAGCGACGTTAGTAATGACGTCCATAGATGGAATTATGAGCGTGGTTCCCTCCGATCAGGATAGCTCCCGAAAGTTTGCTAAAAATTGAACATCACAATAAATTTGCATAACTAAAAATATTTTGGTAACTTGGGGCTCATAAAACACCATGCGCAGTAAAATTCTGATTATCTCAAATTTCTCACAATGTATAAAAAAGCTCAAGTTGAAGAATTTCAGAACACACCTCCAGTGTCATCACGTAGTGTCGACGAAACAAGATCAACGCCGACTGCGACACCTTGCGAAGGATTGCAGCACCAGCTCCAACACCGAACAGTCCGAAACCCGCACTGAAGTACGGGTTGTCACCAAGTGTACCGAGGTACTCCGACAACCCCATCTCCGACCCGTTATTTAACCTCTTTTATCATTCACATTCGTCTGATGAAAAATTGATATAAAATTACAGTATTAGGAATATTAAATCTGCACTCCGATCTTCGGAAAAGGCCCAGAAAAAATCCGGTTCAGCCCTTATACTCGAAAAAATACCTTTCCTGAGCTTCCAGTCAGTTTCAGCAAATCTATTCTAATTCGAAAATTTAAAGTTTTTTTCTATTCATAAGCCATAGTTTTCCGAACTGTTTTTACGTCAACATAGTTTCCTATGAAACTGCAGTTTTAAGTCCGAGGACGACGTGGAACTAAATGAAATATTGTATTTACTCTCAGGTAAATACAATATCCCCTTTGAGGTGTCCAGAAACTTAATGCATTAGCAGTCCCGGTGATTGAAGCACAAGGAGCAGAAAAACACCGAACTGGTGGTAAATCATTTCAGATGAATTTCTTGCACCAGAAACAATGCAAGAAACACATTTCCTCCCACTCGACGGAAAATTAACGCCAGAATCAGATCAACCCTCATGTTCTACTATGGTAAAAGATGGCGCACGCAAAAAGGGTAACTTTGAGGGTGCAATTTTTGAATGGCTGCGCGAAAATATTAACTCATACGCACAATGATGATCAACTAGTACATTACCGTCACCCAACGACACAAAAAATTAAAATACAAGAAACATGAAACCACAAAGAACATTCTACGGTTTGCTTCGGTCGTATTATAGGGAATCGGTGCATAAACTTAAGCAGGAAGAACGTGTTTTTTCTTCTCTTTCAATAATACCACATACAAATTGCACCGTTTTCTCGCCTCCGCTCTTGTTTATTGACGTATGCATTAACGAGCTCCAAAAATCGTCGATCCAACCCTCACGTTTGTGCTGCCCAATGTGACCTACAGAGAGAATGCACAGATATTGCATTACACGTGGATGTAGATTTTGAAAAATACGTCATTCCATAGCGAATTTTGCCATTTTCAAGCGTCAAAAAATTAATCCGCGTGAGAAATTTTAAATTTGTACATGCTTTTTCCCGCGCTGCCATCAGTACCGTTATCATTCAAATTTTGTATTCGTCTAAAAAATAACGGCGTGAACTGAAGCTAAAACTCACGGCATGTTCGTAGTCAGCTGACATTCCCATTGATAACTCAACATCCTGCAATTCTAGTTCGTTGCAAACTTGATCGCGAACTTCTCGCAATTTCTGCCAAAAAAATGAAATATTTTAGGAATAATCAAACATAAAAAATATCAGTCTTTCCCAAAAGTACCATAAAATCTGGGTTTGGCCCATCGGCAATATTGTGCGATGCCTCGTAATCTCCGATTGTCATGAGTCCCACGAACTCCAATCTCGGGCAGTTAGACAATAAGTGCTTCACTACTCCAACGGCATCTTTTGGCTCTATTCCACTTTTCCCTGAAGAAAGAAGGAAAAACAGCAAAGAATATGTAGAACTCTTAACTGTCACAACGCTTGCTCCAACTACAGTAATGTACCTTCTTCTCCACTAGTATTCACTTGAACCATGACTCGAAGGCGTTCAGATCCGGCGCCCACTTCGTCACCGCTTCCTGGTGGCGGCGGGCTGCTGGAAATTTGGCTGAGGCATTTCTCCAGTTCATCAGCGAGCTTCGTGGAATCTACAGTCTCTAGCTGATACAAATTCCGACAGGCGACGAGTTTCTTCACTTTGTTACTCTGCAAATGCCCGATGAAGTGCCACTTGATGTCCGGAGCTTCTTTCCGCAACTGAAGACAGACGAAACTACAGTACTGTACTGTACTATACAATATTATAATTTACGAATACTGTTCGCCAATTTCAATTAAAATCTTCCATATTTTTTCATTTAATATAAAACTAAACACTTCCTAATAAACCCATGGCGTTTTAGATTTGCTCGCGGAAAAACAATTTTATACTGCTGGATTGAAAAAAGGCTAGGGAAAATCAATCAAGATATCGATAATTCACTAAATGGATACGTTTACGGCTTAGTTTTCCGGACAGGACACATCAAATTAAAAGTGCAGCAGTGGAAATACTGTAAAAGCTAATACTGTACTGTACTGAGCAGAATAGGGCAAGTTTTTTTAGTCATGTTTGATGAACACGGTGGCAAAAATACTGATTTTCCATTTGAACAAAAATTGTCCTGCGCTTCAAAGATGAGAAAATTTTGCCTGCGAAATCAATACGCAATTTCAATAGAATGATTACATCCACAAATTTCTGAATACTGGATTGTAGTTATCAGGTGTCCGCTGACATATTTATCAACTCAACCTTTTCGAAAACTTCCATCGAAACTCATGTTCGCTTTCAAATTGAAAACGTCGCTGAGAATCCTTTTTTTTAATATCAAAATTCAAATGCTTTTCAAATGTATTTACTGTTCCTTCATGCTGTACACGTATGTATGCATGTGAAGTGAAGTAATGAAGTACTTGACCTGTAAATTTAAGATGTCATCAACGGAAGGACATCATGAAATAAGACTTAACCCGGTTTTTCAGCAAATTTTTGAAACAGCAAAAAGTGCGTACACATCTGGATTATACCTGCAAAATCCTGCAAGCTAGATGTCGCCAGAATAATTCCACCAAAACCAACAGCTGACGGCTCAGCAAAATTTATCGCCAGAGAATGCAGATGCAGTCCAATGAATAGATACTACTCACGAATTCTGATGCGGACTTGGAAACCAACTCCTTGACATAATTTTCTCCAAAATGCCGCTGACCGGCAGCATACGCTTCAACAATGGCTTCTTCTGGCTTGGTTTTACTCACTGCAACCAAACGAGGTAATCTCGCCATCTCTGCAAATGCCCGATGAAGTGCCACTTGATGTCCGGAGCTTCTTTCCGCAACTGAAGACAGACGAAACTACAGTACTGTACTGTACTATACAATATTATAATTTACGAATACTGTTCGCCAATTTTAAGTAAAATCTTCCATATTTTTTCATTCAATATAAAACTAAACGCGTCCTAATAAACCCATGGCGTTTTAGATTTGCTCGCGGAAAGCAATTTTATACTGTGGATTGAAAAGAAGCTAGGGAAAATCAATCAAGATATCAATAATTTACTAAATTAACGAAAATCTTTTATCTGGTTATATCTGGATACGTTTACGGCTCAGTTTTCCGGACAAGATACATAAAATTAAAAGTGCAGTGGAAATACGTACTGTAAAAGGCTAATACTGTACTGTACTGAGCAGAATAGGGCAAGTTTTTTTTTAGTCATGTTTGATGAACACGGTGGCAATAATACTGATAGCAAGGTAATTCCATTTGAACAAAAATTGTCCTGCGCTTCAAAGATGAGAAAATTTTGCCTGCGAAATCAATACGCAATTTCAATAGAATGATTACATCCACAAATTTCTGAATACTGTATTGTAGTTATCAGGTGTCCGCTGACATATTTATCAACTCAACCTTTTCGAAAACTTCCATCTAAACTCATGTTCGCTTTCAAATTGAAAACGTCGCTGAGAATCCTGTTTTTTTAATATCAAAATTTAAATGCTTTTCAAATGTATTTACTGTTCCTTCATGCTGTACACGTATGTATGCATGTGAAGTGAAGTAATGAAGTACTTTACCTGTAAATTTAAGATGTCATCAACGGAAGGACATCATGAAATAAGACTTAACCCGGTTTTTCAGCAAATTTTTAAAACAGCAAAAAGTGCGTGCACATCTGGATTGTACCAGGAGCAGTACAGTACAAGGTACTCTCCTGGCCAAGCTTACTTCCGCAAGCTAGATGTCGCCAGAGAATGCAGATACAGTCCAATACTCCAATGAATAGAAATACAGTATGCTACTCACGAATTCTGACGCGGACTTGGAAACCAACTCCTTGACATAATTTTCTCCAAAATGCCGCTGACCGGCAGCATACGCTTCAACAATGGCTTCTTCTGGCTTGGTTTTACTCACTGCAACCAAACGAGGTAATCTCGCCAATGAGGATCCCTCTTTGTCAGACGAATTATCGCATGCCGCCGCTATTTTAGCTTCTACTGCGCGTATCGCTTGACCGATAGGCGATAAAACAGTCGCATCACTGCTTGAAGACATTGTCTTCCACACCGTAGCCAGAATCCGCGAACGAGTCTGCAACCACATGCCAAATTCCTTCAATTCAATCCCAAGGAAGCAAAAAATAATAAAATATCGTTTAAAATTCGAAAATGATATGAACTGGTGTCATGGACCCAAAATCACCGGAAACCCCGACTCAAACGGTTTTCCAGAATATAGTTTCAATAAAAAAAGGAATTCTCAAAATTAAATTGAAAGACCGCCTTAATTCAATGATTATCTCGCAAAGTTTATTCCAGCCCAGCATCAAACTTATTAACGCGCAGGGTCAAAACGTGAAATTACATAGCTGAATGAAAAATGCTTTTATTGAGCTCCAGCTGATTATTCCAGGGGTCTACAGCATTGATATTATTCACTAAAACAGGAAAGATCCACTCATGCTTCAGCCTTAGATTACTCATAAGCTTCTTAATTGGTTTCAAGTTTTCAACTATCGTACCCTCATCATTTTGAGTAGGGTTGATGTGTAATTAATTATGTGGAACAGGATGCCGAATATAGTTTTCTACAATCCAACCGGGATTATTTGTTCAGTAATGTTGTCTTATAGCAGTTTCTTCAATGTTGGGACCGGCTTCGTCCATGGCGTTCACATTTCTCGGTCTTGTTCTTCTCATATGGACATTATTCTTCATATTTCTCAAATCTTCAAGCAGCAACAATCCTGCAGGCGTGAAGCTTTCTGAAGACTTTGAAATGCATTGAAAAAATCGCCACACGTGGCAACATCAGCTACCGCCGCACGGGTTCAGAAGAAAATCCCGTGGAAGAAAAAATCCCGCGGACCGAAAAACCCGTAAACTTAAAAAATCTCGCGGGGTCCGAAAATCCCGCAGGAACGAAAATCCCGAAACATGAATTTTTGTATCAGAAAAATCCCCTTTGATAACTAAAATAGGTAATGGTTTGTACACAATGTCGAAATTATTAAAAAGTCTAAATGCAGTTTGATAGTGATACTTCATTCCGTCGAATTTGAATCTAAATACAGTATTCAATTTTCAATACATGATAATAGAATAAACACACATTTTTTCAAAATTCAACAAGTTTTCAACTCGACAAGATTTCTACCCGAAGGCCATGGAAAAATAAATGCACTGATTTCCTTGTCTTCATCTTGTCCTGACATTTGATCGTGTTCCATCCCACACACACTTTTACTTGAAACCAAGACCCACTTATTTAATTTTGTAGTACAGGGGATTTTCATTCCTCCGGGATTTCCGGAACCCGCGAGAATTTTAGACCTACGGGATTATCGGACTTATGGGATTTTCGGGCCACGGGATTTTTTCATGGAGCCCGCCAAACCGACCAGAATCCTGCCTCGAGAGCGTGATGCGTCCTGGAAATGTTCGACATCTTGACGTTTGAACCTCTGGTGTCAAACTGCAGCAGGTAACAAGTGATCTGCCAGTCCTCAAAAAAACAAAAAAAACCATGCTGAAGTATGCGGACCTGAAAAAGGTTGGGGAAAAGTTTCGGACGACGTTATCTTTCCTTTCTTGTTGAAAATAACCTAGAATTTACCCCACACTTATCATCGTACCAATCTCGGAGGAAGCACTGAAGAAAGTTCATTTTTCTCATCTGTGAGGGCCATAAGAGAGAGGGTATATTTTCTGTGTTTTTTAATACTTTTATTTTTATTTATTTATTTTTATCACTTCTATTAGTTGAATCATAGAAGAAATAGACATCTTCAAAAGCAGGATATGTTCCCGGAACGAGGAGGGAATTCCCCCTCGAGAAAGCGAAAATGACTGAAAAACCCTCTTGCTTTGTCAAGGACATCTCGTATCATTTGCACAAGCAAAATCTCGTGTTTCGACCTCGACCTCGCTGGATTTGTGCCCCGCCTATCTTCCTTCTTTTCCTGCTCATGCTGACCGTGGTTTTATTTTTATACTTTGTGACTGATCGAAATAAGAGGGAAAAAAGATCACTTCATGTTGTTTCATAATCAATGTAATCTGAAGTGAGACGGTATCGCTGCCGGAGGAACATTCACAGAATTCCAAGAAGGGGTGATTCATCAGAAAATGTTTTTCCCTCCTCATTTTTTGGACGCATCGCATTTCCATAGTTCATGATGAACACTTGATTGAAATTTCTCTGCTTCTATCAACATGAGTTCGTTAGAAGTCCATACAGGGAGAGAATTATTAAACACATTCATTCGTACAAAGAAACCCGCAACTTCGAAAGAATATTTTGCTGCTACGGGAATATTTAATTTTTGCTTCGCCATTCTGTCAAAAATTTGCGGAACAATTTAGATCCAGACACAAAATTGCCCGTCTGAACATCGGTGAAGTTTTGCATGGCCAACTACCCGTAAGACAATTCAAGTCCAACTTGAATGATAAAAATTTTACACGAACCAATTTAAACCTCCTTTTACAGGTGTGTTTGATTCAGATACACAAGCTGGTTGCAATATCTAAACTAAAATCCTGAAAAGGCGTTTTTAGATAAAGATGAAAAGCTTCAATTTTGCATAATTTTCATTTCATCCGTTCAACATGCGTGGAGGTAATGTAAATCTTTTTTGTTAATATTCCATTGTTTTCAGTTAGTTACGCCATGCAGTAAATTATTTCTGCATGATGAAGAAAAAAATACAAAATGTAATGATCTGAGCGATCAGTTCGAATTAAGGAGTTGGTTTTTTTTTCAATCACAGTGGATCCAAGAAAACTACGATAAAATCTACACCAGGAATAATTTGACAAGCATTCGAAAAATTCGTTTATGGATTCCGGAAGACAAAATGCGCCCTTTTTTGTTTTACTTTCACTAAATTCCACATGAGTTCACCCAGAAAACTAACATATATTCTCTAAAATTTTCGGCGAATGCTACCTACAAAGCAAAAAAAGTTAGCGGTTTTGCCCCTTTGCAGGAGCCTGAATTCTTCGGGTGGACGCTCGCAGGAGACGACCAGGTTCATGTTCAAATTTTCGGGTTTCCGAAAAGGGAAATCCTGCTTTCAAAAAGCCAAAAAACCCCTGCTTTTCCACCTTCAAGACGTCAGAGGGGAGACATTTAAACGAGGATACAAAAGTAAATCCCTGTGGTTTTGAGTCGGAAACGGGTGGGGGAGAACAAACTTGACCAAGACCTCGACCTTGTCTAAGAATAACCTTTTCCTCCTCCTTCCACAAAGGCGAAAATAACCCCCCTAAAAGGAAACCCATGCAGGAACAATTTGTCCTGACCTTCAGGAAAATATATTTTCTACGTGACTTCAGGCATTTCGTGTGCATAAATTCTTTTTTTTTCTTTATCTTCCCAGCGAAATAATCCCGGGCGTGGTGTGTGCGGATGCGACACGCAGAGAGGAGAACCGACAGCGTCGATCCCGGGAAGCGATTGGGCTCGGGATCTGGTGCAACCCCGGATCATTGGGGGGGGGAAGAAGGGGGGCGGGGGGTTCACGAGAAAACTTCCCGGTTCTTGGGGTTGTTATAAAACCACCGTTGGAGAAGAGAATTGGTACAGTTGGATCTCAGTCATCTAGAGTGTCGGAATATTCCTAAAAAAGCTTTTCCTCTTTCATCTGGTCGTCTCGACAACTGGCAAACATGAAGGTGAGTGTTTGTAGTCTTGAGATTCAAAGCGTTCGTCAAAAAAGTGGCTTTTAAACCCATAACAAGAAGACCAATTCTTTGTCGAGGTTTATTCAGTTTACGTACAATATTTCACCCAGATTATAATTCTTCAGTGAACGGTGAAAATTTTTCGCATTTTTTTTGGTAATTTATAATTTGAATTGTCGCTTCGTAAAACGAGACTGGATTATAAATACGGGTTTTACAGTGCAATATTTTAGAGCTTTTCTGTACCTGAAATCCTGAAGTAACCTTCTTTGGGCGGCTTTTTTGGAATTCCCCAAAACTATCATTCTTGCACTTCCAGGTTTTCCACAGTTCTTCGAATTTTTCAAATGTCGATATCTCCCATCTCCTAGATTTTCAGCGGGATAGTTATATCAGTGGGAAAATTCCTCGAAAAGTTCGGCTAATTGAACGTCTTGAATATAGCGGTCTCCTTGAATTCGATTATTTTTTCGAACTGAGAACTTTTACTCGAAACTCAGTCAAAGTTGCGCTTTTACTTCGAAAAATATTATTTTCATAAACGAATCTGAAAATTTCAAGTCGCTTTTTAAGCTAGTATTTACTTCCAGTTGCTTAAGCGCAACTGTTTCTGACAGTTCCGCCGTTCATCAGTATTTAACTCAGTACAGTAACTCTGAATCATAAAACAGTAATTCCAGCGTTGAAAATGTGAACAGCATGCCCAAGAAAGATCTTCCTTTTTTTTTAGATTTATCATCGAAAAGTTCATGTTGCTACAGTCCATTCTTCTTTCCTCAACTCCCCAGGTGATATTATTTTTGGGCCTCGTGGCCGTTGTTGCGGGAGATGGCAGCGGGCACAACCACGCGCACGCACCGCAGTCCCTGCCAGCACAGTCATCGTACGCGGCGCCCATCGCACAACAGCCACAGCCCATCACCAACTCCTACTCAGCCCCGTCTGCTCCAGTCAGCCAATACAATGCACCCTCTCCATCAGTGTCAATCCAGTCGAGCTTCGTGAATCCAGCTCCTGAAGTCGGTTACGCCGCCCCGGCTGCTGCGCAACCCGCCCCCGAAATAATTGCAAACGCACCTGTATCGAATTACGGTGCACCGGCACAGGCAGCGCCGGCGCAAGTTTCCAGCAGTTATGGGGCACCAGAGGCACTTGCTCCTGCACCAGCGCCGATTTCGAGTTACTCCGCACCTGAGACTGCTCCTGCACCAGCTCTGATTTCGAGTTACTCTGCACCAGAAACTGCTCCTGGGGCTTACGCTGCAGCTGCTCCCGCTCCTGCTCCAGCACCAGCCCCAGCACCGGTTTCGAGCTACTCAGCACCCTCAACTGCCGCCGGTCCATACGATGCCGCTTCCATAGCTCCGGCACCACAGTTGCCAGTTTCCACCTATTCGGCACCTGCGACTGCTTCGGGTCCGTATGAAGCAGCTGCTCCTGCTCCTGCTCCAGTGTCGAGCTATGGAGCTCCTGCTGCTGCTCCAGTTTCGACCTACGGAGCTCCTGCTGTTGCTGCTCCAGCTCCGGCTCTTGAAGCTGCTCCAGTATCAAGCTACTCAGCCCCGGCTACAGCTTCTGGACCGTACGACAACGCTGCACCTGCTCCTGCTCCGGCTCCAGTTTCGAGTTACTCTGCTCCAGCAACAGCCTCAGGCCCATACGAGTCTGCAGCTCCAGCTGCTCCAGTGTCAAGCTACGGTGCCCCAGCTGCTCCTGCTCTTGCGCCTGCCCCAGATTCGAGCTATGGCGCCCCAGCTGCTCCTGCTCTTGCGCCTGCCCCAGAGTCGAGCTATGGTGCCCCAGCTGCTCCTGCTCTTGCGCCTGCTCCAGTGTCCAGCTATGATGCTCCGGCTGCTCCCGCGCCTGCCCCCGTGTCAAGTTACTCTGCTCCAGCGACTGCTGCAGGACCATACGAAGCTGCTGCTGCTCCTGTTGCACTGGCGGATCCTGCACCTGTGTCCAGCTACTCTGCTCCGGCGACGTCGGCTGGGCCTTATGAGGCTTCTGCTGCTGCTGCTCCTGCTCCGGTCGACTCCAGCTACTCTGCCCCTGCTACTGCTCCAGGTTTGTGACACACAAGACATGGAAGATTATTCTTTCGTCCGTCTTCTTTAGTTCCTGCCTTTTCAAAATTACAATTTGCGTTAAATTGAGCTCATTGAGCCAAAATTTTCGTTAGGAACACTTACTGAAAGGTAAAAATTTCTTCATTACGTTGGCAGGAGATTTTTCAATGTGGTTGTTTTCCATGCAAGAGGAGCGGTTTAAATGGACTGTAAATAAATCTAGGTCTTTTGGAGTCTTGAATCGAATCTTAATCGAATCTTGAAATTATTGAATCGAAGAAATACTTTCGATTCAATAAGAGACGTTGTCCGTTTCGCCTCATGTGTACAATAAAAGATCTGTTCTTCAACTTGAGAAAATATGATCAACGCTTGAAAACGTCAGAGTTGCCAAGAAATTTCCTTTTCTTCCGAAAATATTCCTCCTGCTTTAGCTTTTAAAATGAATAGAATGTCGATGCCGGAACTTTCCGCAACTTTTTCAAAAATGCATCCCTATGAAAAATTTTAACGTAAATATTCCTCCTGCTTTAGCTTTTAAAATGAATAGAATGTCGATGCCGGAACTTTCCGCAACTTTTTCAAAAATGCATCCCTATGAAAAATTTTAACGTAAGGAGATATCTGAACCTTACTTGAAATTTGAGCTTATTGTATTCGTGGCGTGTTCTTTGCATATCAGGTCCTTATGGCGGCGCTTCCTCGGCAGCAGGAGGCTCCTACGCGACCACTCGCGTCATCCCCGGAGTGCCAACCACTACTGGCTACGAAACCGCTTACTACGCACCATACTACATCACCAGCTACGCCCCGGCGCCAGTCTCCTCCTATGGTGCACCCGCAGCGCCCGCCCCTGCCACCTCCTATGGCGCACCCGTGCCGGCGCCGTCGGGCAGCTACGCAGTCCCAGCCACGGCCCCGGGCCCATACCAGCAGCAACCCGCGAACGTTGCTGTGCCGCAGACAAGCTACGGGTTGCCGGTTGTTAGCCAACAGAGCGTGGTGCCGATTGTCAAGTCAGGAGTGGCTTCTGTGAGGAGTTGGTTGAGGCAGACAGCGTTGCAAGGAGGTGGTATCATCACCGAGCATCAGGTCAACAATGGCTATGGCAGTTATGGTGCCAAGACTGAGACCACTGAGGAGTGGCAGGTGCGTAATAATCCATTCTTTTTTCACTTGACGATTTAAACTTCCGATGACAGCAGGAAAGTTCAAACTTGAATGACTACACTTTCCATCTCTTATTCCGTTCTTTCCAAAACTTTGAAAATTGAATATTCGCATTAGCACAAAAATCCCAGCCGAGGATACACAACAGAATTCCTGCAGGGCTCTTCATGCCATTTTTACGATTTTTTAACCCAGAAATATTACCTGCTTCTTAGTAGAAAATTTTCTTTCAACCATTTGTAGCACGCAAAATTATTGTATCCATGGAAATCTTGGATATTATTGAAATTCATAATTTCTGGTTTTTTTCAGGATTCTAAGCCTGATTACCATTATGGCTATGAGATCAAGGGCGACTACGGCCACGCCGACTCTTCAGCGCAAGAATGGCGCAATGGCGGCAAAACATCCGGCAGATATTCCGTTAAACAACCCGACGGTAAAAATCAATTCACAAACCTTCCATTCATGACAGAATCAAAATTTTCCCGTACGAATTTTGAACATCTTTTTTGTCATTTTCCTATTCACAGGCAAGACAAGAATCGTCGAATACACGGTCGATGACTGGGGCTTCAAGCCAACCGTGACCTACGTTTGAGTTAACAGGTCGGAAGGATCCTCTCCGAAAAGGCATTGAATCCGTTGGCTGTCTTTTAGAACAAGAAACATGGATTTGAATTGATTTATTGTTGATTTTATGTGCTGTTGTTTTGTCCGTTCACTATTTGAGTTCATGCTTGGAAACTGAGCAAGTTTTCGCTGATTTTCGCTAAGAAATGAAGAACTCTTGCGTTCGTTTGGCTTGTGAACTCGTCGTTTTCCTTCTTCCAAAAATCTTCCCGATGTAAGTCCGTGAGAAAAGTACTACTGCAGTTTACTGAATGCGTAATAAGTATAGTTTCTTCCCCCTCCGTGAAATGCGTCGCTTGGGCTTCAACAGAGAACATTCTGGATTCGGGAGTACTGTATTTAAAAATGGCCCTGATAGTTTGAAAAGAGTCCTGCAAACCCACATCGCAAAAAGCTACCCCTATAACTCTGAGTAAAAGTTTCACCGATTACGGACTAGCGTGTCTCGGGATTCATCTCACGAAGCAGGTCACTTTTCAGGTAAATAATTACCAAACTTCTGCGCTATAATACAGTAGATCCTTATGGCCCCTCTGCCCTGCTCGCAAATCCAAAAAAAAATCAAGAACGGGAACTGATGGTTACAATTAATGTGCCCGTATTTTCCCATGTGCCACGCGCAGTTGCGTAAGAAGTACGCCCAGGATTTTCAGTCTAAATTTTCGATGAAATCATACTCCTAAATAAAACACGCTCCCCTTTTTTAGCGATTCTAGAACTGCCTAACATTTTTTTAAATACTGCAGAAGAATACCCAAATTTGAATTTACGCAAGGATTAAGCACGAATTAAACTCATTTTGAATTTTTTCCAATGAGATTAGTTTTGTTCATAAAATTGGTCCAACATTTCCCATGAGATTCAAGTATAATGCATACCTAAACTTCTGATACTTTCTGAAAAATGTACACTCACTTATTTCTGACTCCCATCCCCGTTTTTCATCGTAACGGTACTAGCTCAACCAAAATTTTTCCGAAAACTTGAGCAACAAAAAGAATGTTACAATACTGCAGAAAAAATCTGGATGCAAACGTGAAAGAAATGTGGCATAGATTGGTTTAACTCACAATATATTTTTCTCACTTTTGAAACATTTGAGCGATGAACTTCACATGCTGAATTCTCAGAACAAAATCAGCACGTGAAAACTGCGTCAAGGTATCAACCAACTCAAACTTCCCCTTCCTTTGTTTCATGTAGAATTTTCATGGAAAATAGAATAAATATCGAGGGAGATGTGTGCTCGTAGATGAAGGCAGCCCAGGTAAAAATTAATAGGCTCCTAACACACGTGACTCACTTATTCAATTTAACCCATGCGCCTGTCGGTCAGTTTGTACTTGAAACCGAACTAACTTTTCCCCTCCCCAAGAATAAAAATGCACCTCTCACAAGAAACCCTTCGCCCAATGCTGAATCAGCTTCGCATCACAATTGGGGATCGACAATGTTGACAGAATCCGTTGATCACTCCAACCAGGCTGCACTGCTTTAATTGCGGCATAACTACGCGCCTTAATCACGGTCTTCTGTTTCATGGCAAGTAATAGTGAAGACAAGAGTTCAATGGACAAGGATTCATTCCTCACGGCTTTGTAGAACTTGCTCACATACTCCGAAGGTTTGTCATGCAGATGCCGGTCCTGGAAGGCAACCACAGTGTCTTCGTCGTTGCCTATTTCACTCCATTCCCCAAGCCGATTGGAGCTCAGCCAATGCAAACGTGAGCTTAACTGCAACACAGTAAATGCATAAAACGTATCCTTAAAAACCAACATTGAAGCATCCACACTTCTGAGACAAATTTTATTTAGGAAAACCTGTCAAGTGGATAAGCATGACAACAACTAGCATTCATATAAAAACAGTTAAACACAACGTAGTTTGATTGAAAAATTCAGAAACATTTCTAAAATAAATTACAGAAGCTTTCTGCAGTTTAATATGGTTGAAAAACGCATGCTACTCTGACAAAGGGAACAACTGCGATCAGTCAAGAAGAATTTCATAAATGCTTCTGCAATACTAAAAATGGTGGCCAAATAACAATAACAATTTTTTTGTCCATAACAATCAAACAATTGATTCTCAATGTAATAAAGTTTATTCTTCATAAATCAAACCTCCCCAAGTCAAATACAGTACTTCCCATCTGGGATTTTTTTCAAGTCCCTGACTGAATTCCTTTAGAAGCAATGTACAGTAATAAAAATCTTATTAACTCAAACGCTTTTCCTCTGAATACAGTGTCTCTATAACTCAATTTTTCTAGGGGCATTTTGGCTAGCACTTTGTGACCCAGGAAAAGATAAAGCAATAAAAATTTAACTTGAAGCTTTTTTAAAGGGAATGAAAAAATACTTGGGCTAATGAACCCTTTTCTCCTTGTTAGGCATCCTGTCAACTTCTTCATAAGGCAGTTTTGGGCCAAGAAAGGTCACTTGAATTAACTTACTTCTTATAGACTTCTATTCAACTTAACTTGGGTTATGTGTGTATTTCTAAGGGGTATCCAGATTTAGCAAAGTTTGCAACAGAAATTTAATCCACTTTCAAACGTCCAATCTAATTGAAATCTTTGCAGATGTCAAAAATGTAGGACAATGCAATTAACAAAATTTCAGAATTTTTGGATGACCAGAAAATTGTTACAATTGACAAAAGACAAATTACCATAACACACTTGTATTTATCAAGCATTGCTTCAAACATTGTGAGAGTGTCAAATTATGAAATAAAAAAATTTTATATTTGAAAAAAAGTTTTGAATATTTGAAAATGAGAAAGATCAATTTATAATTGCATCTACTCATTCAATTGATTTGAAACGTTATCCACTTGTGAAACTAAAGCACTTCACCAAATTCTGTTATTTTTTACTTGTAAACAAAATTGATTTTTACAAAAAATTGAAAGCACTTTAAACTCAATTTGTAGGCCTCTTAATTGTCTTGAAATGGGAAATTTTGTTTTATAGTACTTTTAAATGTTTTTCTGTAATATCGGGTTTTTTGAAAATTTTAGGAAAATACAATTTTAACATGTTTAATAAAAACTTGTGGAAGCATGCCTTCCCCAACCACCATAACCTTTTTCTCATTTCTTTCCTTTCCTAATTTACATTCCCCAGAATTGTGAAGTCTCTCCAAGCAGTGCTCTGAAACACTGGTAAAAATGCGCAGCACCTACACGCAGGGTCTTTGTTTGAATCCAGGCCCAGGCTGGTTTTTTTTTTTTTCTTGGGGTGTGAGGCATGAGAGAGACCTAACAAACAACCCAAGATTGAGAAAATCTACATTTTTTCAGATGAAATGCAAATGTTGAAACCATTTTGAATTTGTATCACTAAAAAGATTTGAATAGAGTAATGTTTAAAGTATTGTACATAAAGATAGACTTGTATGCACTAAAAATGGGGAAAATATACTTTTTTCAAAAATGCGGGGCCTTAGTGAATACCTTCTCATCCTCTGTATTGTATAAAAATTTGGCCCCACACTTTCATTAGACCACTATCCCAGTACAACTTTGGTTAACGTTTATTTTCCCCCTTTTTAGTGCATGAAAGTCTATTTTTATGAATTGAACTTTTTTTTACCTATCCTTAAACCTCTAGTCGAAATATTTATCATGATTCTTTTGAAATCCGACTAGAAGAGAATAAACTATGATTCACAGTATTTTTTCATAGTGCTGATTATAGGAAAACATTAAAGTAATGCACTTCAAAAATAACCATACAGTACTTGGAAAGAAGGCAACTCACTTGCCCAGGAAAGCAACTCCTTGCACAGGTTACTCCGATTATGTCCAACTCTTTCAAGTCCTCACTTTCCACCGTCAGATCACTCACGGGAACTACTTTAATACGATTAGACAGTTGAGTCGAACGAAGTTCGCCTAATGCAAGCACGCGACAACTCGCATCTTCACTTCCTCCAGCACAAAACAAAATGACCGGACTTCTTCCTGTGACAACAGCTTCCAGGAGTCGCTCCACGTTAGCTTCTGGAACTTTGCACCAACCACGGACCAGCTCTACGCAAGGCTGTAAATTTGCGTAAACAGGAAGTGCTGCATTTCTATTGCTGGAATCCATCGGTGGCCTGATGGCAACTTGCTGAAATCGCGCATCAGCTGTTTTGAGAGTCCATACAACATTTTCATGGAACTTATGGAATATATCGTTCATACCTGAAAGAAAAGAATTCATTAATCAGAGGAGTTCGAGCTGATTCTTCCTGCATCGTAAACTTTTGGTTTCACCTCTAAAATGGTCCAATATTTTCCCCTTCACTGGTTTTTTTTTCAAGCTCGATTTTATTCGTTAATTTGAATAGTTTTTTTATCAAGTTCCGACTCAGTTTGACCAATTCTGAATTAAATGCTGTAGTCCGTACATTATTTCGATAACTCAATCTTTTGTATTTTCATTGCACATTCGGCACGTGCCAAGGAGCTTAGGATACTTCCAGGTAATTTATTTTAATGACATACACTACCGCAGGTGGACTTCGCCCAAAACTATCTTGTCCATAATTATTTTTTTGGGTTCGTAGGATTCTTTTCCCATGTTAAATGGTTTGTCCACAGACGAATTTTTTCTAGGCCCTTGAATTTCGATGAGAGAATCCACTTTTATTGTATAATCAGGTTTTCCCCAGATTTTTTTAGCAAGGTCCGATTTCTCATTGTAAAAGCTTCTGCTTTAGACGCAAAAAGCACTTTCGAATAATTCCAAGTTACTGGGACACGTTTTGAACCAACATTGGCGGAGACAAAAAAAGTTAAACTCAGTACCGTACTTATCAATCCGATTCTCTGAAGCTCTTACCAGTGATCGAAACTATTGAACGGAAGTGCGAATCCGGTAGTAGGCATCTCCGCTCTAGTCGAGCAGCTCGTTCGCATTCCTGAGCTTGGTCATTGTCAAACACATTGTTCGCTGAAATAGCGGCGAAGTTCACAAACCGTTCCACACCAGCAGAAAACCACTTCCATGATGTCATAAGATAGGCACGATCGTAGCTAAATACAATGATTGAGAACGACCTCTTGAAACCTCGCGCTTTCGAATCTTTCAGCGAAAAGGTGAAGCTGAGTGTATGACCTCTTTCCGGATCTCCGAAGTATATCCCTGTAAAAAAAAGGAGATTCCAATAAAATAAAATAATGCCTCAACTCCAAGAAGATTTAATCCCAGTTTTAAAAATGGGAATGAATTGGATTAAAAACTGAAATTTCGGAGGAAGTTAATTATTCGCTGAAGCTATTAATCACCTGCATTTCGGGGAATCTGGAAGCGAAGCGTAATTTGTGATCACAACAAAAGTCAATCAATATCTTCGTTTCCCGAAGTAATCGTCATCTCTCTCTTCGACACGCGTTTTCGGCGTTTCCTTGTTCTTAGACTCAACACAAGCTTAGCAGTCTCGCACAATGCAGACGAGAAAACAAGATTTCAAAGAAAAATCGTAAGAAACCAAAACATATTCTCAACCAACCCTCACGCGAATGGCGACCGTCCTCCGTCGTCGGATGAAACTCGCAACTTAGACTGCGCACACACGCACAACGAAGCAACGACCAAAATGTTTGATCGTTGCTTACTGATACGTCCGAAACACCACTACCGCTCGTTAGGAACCAAACGCCGGTTTCCTCATCGTGCGTCACGAACCCATTGACTGCCCTCGAATCTTCACCAATGAAGACCGGGGAACACGCGGCACAGCTTTCACAAGCGTCATTCTGTCTGTGCTCCGTGGGTCGCGATTTGAAGGCTCGGGTACAAGCCACAACAGAAGGGCCATGCACTTCGCAGAAATGGCACAGTCCTATTGACACGTTCATCTCATCACTCAAGTCTGCGAATATACATCACGGGATAATGAAGAGAATCACGGACCGGGAAAAAATCCCCAGAAGACCGGACTACTTGTGAGGGAGTGTCATACCTACCAGAAAATCCCAAAATTGCACAGCTGGGGAGCATTTTCACACAAATGTAATCTTCCTAGGGGACAAAATCCCCAGCTCAAAAAAATCTTGAAAAATATAAAATACCATCACAATTATGCGAGGTAAACCAGCACATAGATGGTTATCCACAGGTTTTTAATAAAAATAAATAAACAAACTCAACGTTGAATCCAACAAGCTCAATTCCAACAGTTCCCCTGCATTTTTCAGAGCTGGGCAGTTTTCTTCTCACCCCGAAAACTTGCAGGCACAGTGGGGGACATCTATAATTTAAAAAGTCCAAACATTTATCCATCAGTGACACCGTAATTCGGAAATTTCGCCTCAACTCAAAAGCAAAATTATAAAAAAAAATTCGCAGAGTAATTTTTGCTGAAAATGAAAAGATAATTGAACTCAGAAGGTTCTCTAGAAAATATTTAAATCCATTCACTCATAAATTACTGTACAGATTGTCACTGATTTTCGATGCTTTTCGACGTTGTTTTATCTTTAAAAAATACATACAGTGATTGGATTTGAAAATGCGCAAGTGAACATCACGTATCGATTCTCACGTTCGTTCAATAGGATTTCGATCGAGAGTCGGGGCGGTCACAGGTCCTTCGGATGTGATCATTTCGCTTTTTTTTTTTTTCTCTCAACTGGCCTCCATTAGGAATGAATTCGTCAGATCAACCTGCAAAAGGAAAATCACCGAACATAAAGTACACACCTCAAAATGTATTCAATTTCAAATGCACACGGCTAGATAAAATTAAGCAAAGGCTGTGTAGTTGATACAGCATACAGGCGCATGTTTCGTGAGCGTTGCTTCTTCTCAAGAATAACTTGCGAATTCTTCAGGTTTTTTCGAAAAAATGTTCAATTAACGAACCAATACTAGCATCATTTTTAATGACATTCCCATTGCTTTCTCTAATCCAACACATGTAAGCCTCTCAGGTGGGGAATAGATTCGAGCGGAATTACTGGATACATTTCAAAATGCAACCCTCACAACACTTGATCAACGAACACATGACGATTACTTTTTCGATAAACAAATGAAATCCAACTGGGCCCAGTTGTTGCATTCAATGAATCTAAAGGTTCTCAACATTCTTGCTTCAGAAGCCATCATTCCAAGGAAGAACCCAGAAGCAAATACAGACTCACTTCACGTCCCTAGTACTGTACTGTATTCGCACAGAATTAAGAACTTTCTCGTCATGATTTTTACCTTCTACACGTTCGTCCCTTGCGTTTCCGACTTCATTTACTGATCAAGTAATCAGTTTATTTTCATCTTTCAAAACTGGATTCACTTGGACTCCTGAAAAGTGCATGCGGTGACAAGGGATATCTGTGGAGCACAGATCGAGAAAATGTTTAAAGCGATCATCTCCCCACGAGTAACAGTAACTTACCCAATGGGTAGTGGGTCACAAATATACGCATTGGATTCGATAACTGACTGAGCGGCATTTTCAGCGACGAACACAGTCGGGTAAAAGACGGTCTAACACACGGACTGTTCTTGAATCCTGCCAATGAAAAGGAGACATGACTACGTACGCAGATGTAAAACATAGTTCATCATGTAGTCCATCATCAAAACATCAATACTGTACTAACAAATGAAAATACGCAAAAACAAAGATACGCTTTATTATGCCTCTCACACAGGTTCACTCATGTACAAAACGAAAATAAAAAGAGGAGTTGCCGTACCGGTTCTAATATGCCCAGGCAACTCAACATTTTACAAACGAGAACCTCTAACGCATACATTTGCACATCAGATTTGTGTGGAAAATGTTTCAAGTCCATCAGGAAGGTGACCGACTCGCGAAGTTCCGATTGAAATAAAATCTTTCAGCGCAGTTACTCTGCTAATATCTTTCAAGAAACTCCTGTTCGCTTAGAAAATCGATCGAGTTGAACGGATGAATCTCTAGGACGCAAGTCCGTCGCTGAAGAATTTGCTAGCGCCACATCAAGCCTTTAAGAACAACCGATCTCAACATTGCTCACTCCCCAAAAGAATAATCACGAACAAGCAACGGAATTTCATCTGGAGGAAAATACAGCATACAGTATAAACGCCCGAAAAGAGTCAAAATCTTGCGATAATTCACCGAACAACAAAAATGATGTAATCTCATGCCGTCAACGAATAAACAAAAAGCTCACGTTTACGATGTCAACTTCGCTTCCATACATGAGAAAAAATAAAAAGATTTTCCACAACAAAGGATGACGCTGCCGGGCCAAGATAACAAAAAGGATTTTACCCACAAAACATCGACGGAGAAACAAAAACTATCAAAATAAAAATGCCCTCGGGCAAAACAAATTCTCAATTTTTGCGAGAAAACGCACTACGTCGAACGTTTGAGTCTGGATCTTCCTGTTCTTCCGGGACTAAGATCAAAGCAGATTTTGTACGATCGTCCTCGTCTGCTCCGTCATCCCCTGCTTCAGGCATGGCAAACATCTCCTTGAAAGTGACGTCCGACGTCTCGGATTTCAGTTTTCCCTGTGGATAGAATAAAATACGCCATTTCCATATATAGTACTACTGTATTACTGTCCTGTTCAGAATTCCGTTTTTAAGTGAGTTTAATATACTTTTGAACGTGTCGAATCATTTTCGACCAAGACGAGATTAGAGCACTAAACCCTGACCAATTTTGGCACAATACTGTACAGGGATGCACTGATGCCTCCATTCATCAAGTGGATCCGTGCCATTAAGACGCTCAATATCAAGAAGGAAATCCGTTGGATTATTCAAAATGGTTTATAATAGCCGAGATGGTCCCGCAAGTCCAGAGACTTCCCACTGAATATTTCGAAGCTATACATGATAATTTTTTATGAATCCTTGAAAAACTGTAAATACAGTACAGTATTTTATTCGTGAAATTCAAGAAAAAATTCGTTGGAAAAATGAAAAACTATGCTCGACATGATCAAGACTAAAGAAGCTTTCATCCACTCGAAATATAATACTGGCACCCAGATTTCCGAAATAGTTTTCTTCTCTACACCACAATATTGTAATACTGTATGACATACAATTTGAATGCACCAATATACTGTATGACTGTGAAAAAGCAACGGATTATGAGTGACTTAACCCATCATGCGAGGCTTCAATTATTAAAAAAAACCGGAGTACCTAATAGAACCCGGATTGGGCTGGAACCGTCATTATCTTGATTTTGATTATCCGAGAATAGAAAATTCGATTCAATTCACAGGGAGTAAAAAGCGACCAGCGTTACTTAAGGCGGCTTAATTTATTCTTGATCAGCCCAAAAGTTCAAGGGTTGCATCCTAATCTGCGAAAATGTTGGTAATTTAGTGTGCGGTCATCGTCGCCTCAACTAAATTTCGTCCACTCCATGAACAGAATCTTTTCGAATTTATAATCAATATTATTGGCGAAGACGCAAGGAAATAGCCAGATATTCAAACTTCTACATTACGTACAGTAAAAAATAACCAAAACTAGATCTCTGGAAACGTAAGCCACGAGACTTTTGGATAACAGAAGTCACGTACAGCATTTCGAATAAGCGGGATGTCCAGGCATTCCCGAAAAGATGAAAAACTGTAGTTCAATGAACGAACCTTGACGGACTCATCAATCCCGTCTTCAACTTCTGCCGTATTCGCACCCTCAGCGTCGGTTTCGCGAGATATTTGCTTTTTCTTGCCGTGCTTTGAAACGGCAGATTGCATTAATTTGTCCATCTTCAGATCCATCTTTCTGAGGACTGGTTTGGGCGGCGGCAGCAACATCTTGGATCGTCGCATTTTCTCTTCTTCGTCCTCGTCTTCCTCTTCGTCTTCCCCACTACTGCCGTCGTTGAACAACTGCTGCGGCTCTTTCATGTCTTTTTCTTCAGGCTCTTCGTCGCTCAGGCTGGACTGCAATTCCGTCACTCGACTTTTCACTCTTCCCTAAAAGCATACAACGACAAGTTGAGTTGTAGAGAACGGGACAATTTCAAAAATAAATTTCATGAATTAAAATTCCACGTCCAAAAGAAATTTCGCTCTTTTTCCATGGAAAATACGCAACGCAAGGACGATTTCGAGATAAATTCAACATAAAAACAAATCCTTTTGCGTCAATGTCATAAAATGCGCGTAACTTTCAAAAACTACATAGACTTTCGGGTGAGATTCTCCCTTGAATTACCTTTTTGGCACATGAGAAATCCCGCTTTTTTTTTTTTTTACTTGAACGGCCGATAAAGCTAACTTCATGCTTCTTTTCAATGTCGGATGGGTTTCGCTTAAATCGCGTGAAGAGTTGGACGAAATCATTGTTCTACACTCACAGTGCATGAATAACTTTCGAAGACATATAACGCAAGTGTCACTTCGGTCAAATACATGAACAGTTAATCGATTATTATTTAGGGTGACACGTCTGGTACAAAAAACCCGAATTACTAACCGTGCGGCATTGGTTCCACGCATTGATTTTTTTTTAATAGGTACAGTATATGCATGCTTACGCGCGATCACTTTCTTAAAATGCCATACGTACCACAATTTTAGTTGAGTAAACACAATGAGAAACCTTCCGTTTGGATCATTGCAAATAGTGTACAGGTATTATGTCAGAAAGTTTCGACCATTTCATGAAATGAAGAACTAACAGTAACTCACCTGACTGGAATATCCACTCTCGATGACTACAACTTTGAGAGCGCCATCTTCTTTGTCTCCCGGCCGAGAAAGGACAATTTTTGTAAGAACCCCAGAAGAGATCGGTTTTGACGCAATCAAGCCTGCAGGCGGCAGACAGGAAATCAATTCCTTCAATCTTGGACCACTCTGGGGATCTCCGTTCAGCTTGACTAACTCTGGCAACGTGAATAGGACCGTACCAGTGATTCCGCTGAACTCTTTCAATAATTTCACCTGTAAGAGAATTTATTTCCTCAGTAGCATATAGGATCAAACAGGTTTCACTTTTCCGCAACGATGGCGACAGCAAAGGAGAACTAAGCGGGTTGGTTTTAAATAATTTCTACTCATTTTCGATGATCAGGTAGGGATGCTGCTTCAACACAAAACCAGTTGATTACCCTCATTTCAATTGATGTTGACTCAAGACGTGCAGAAACGGAAATGAGTTTCAAGTGCACCCTTATTTGTTCGGAACTATGCTCTACCTCTGAGCTACTTTCAAGTCGAGTGAATCGCTTGGAAGAAGTGTACATTTAGCATTAATTGGGATGCTTAGGATATATCAATCATGAGCCACTCGGAGACGAGTCTCCATCTCCAAATGCATGTGACGTGTGTTGTCATCCACTAAATTCTCGACAGTGGGTTGGCTGCGAGTAACCTTTATTCTATTTATGCACACTGCAAGATGAAGGCTTTAAAATCCCAGCCACTGGAACGCGTTCACTTTTCAGAATGCAATGCGCTGAAAATTACTTCCACAATTTTTTTTTAAACCAAGGGAAGCTTTAAACATTACAGTGATCATATATCAAAAATTTGCGTCAACTCTCCATTTGTTTTTAAAATATGTTAGACCGACATCCGTAATCAGGACGACGAAAGGAAATTGAATCAACGGATATCGTGATGCATCGTGAAGCCCTAATGCTAAGTTGAAGCCAGCGGTAAGTAGATGATTATTTTATACTGAATAAAAGAAATCACTGCTAAGATGCTAGAGGGTAATGATCAAACCATTAAGCAGACTTATTCAAAAATTTTCACAAGACTTCCATGCTCACCAAATCTGGTTGGAGACTGTTGGGAATAGGTGCTTGCTGAGCTGGCTTTGTTGGCTCTTTCGGTTCAGGTTTTTCAACAGGCCTAGAAAATATTAGAAACACGGCACGTTATCAAATACTGTACCGTATTCGCACAACAAAAAATAATTATTCTCACGTTTCAGGCTTGCTTGCTGATGTTGATGTCGTTCCCACTGCCACTGGAGAACCAGATGCACCAGGCGTGGACACTTTAACGACAGCTTTTGTTCCTGGAGGACCTGCAGCAGGCCGGACTGGAATGGCTCTTTGTTGACCATTGATTGTTGTAACAATGAACGTTTGCTGGCCTTCTGCTGATCTCACGATAGCGCCTTTTGGCAAAGCAACTATTTGCTTTAATGGCGTCTACAAAATCGGCGGAGATTCAATTAGACACATGACGCTTCGACGGGATATTTCAGGGATATTTACGCTCATTTGACCCTCGACGACCTTCTTCCCATCATTTCCAACAGGGGAGCTATTCGAAATTTGATCTTCTTTGACGGGTAAATCGGCGTTGAAGTCTTCGTGGAATGCCAATCCACGACCGAGTAATGGCATAGTCAGGGTTGCACAGTAACGTTCATGTGAGACCGTTCCGGCTCGATTAACAAATACTTTCCCGCAATGCTTGCATTTATTAGTCTAGATAAAAAAAAAAAAAGAAGAATGAAATTCATCATTTCTACATCGGAGGATGAGAAGATTTGAGAATATTCAGTCTACGATGGAGAGACTTCAGAGGAGGAAATCAAACGCGCGAAGCACACGTTTCCTGGTTAATTATCTTACAGTCCATTTATCCGCTCAATAACGAACCATGCGATCGCAGATGATATTTGCCTTGTTCACGCAATGAGCGACTTCTCCTTCATTGACAATGCAACGATTGAAATTTTGAAGAAATTATTCGAATCAAATCATTCCTTTAACGCACGCGCTAGAAATAACAGCTCGGAAAATTGTATTCGCGAGAGTTACCCTTTTGATGTAATATTAAAAAACTGAATTGAAATGTAGGGAAGAAGGTCCATCTATCGTCATGGTTCTATGCGTTCCGTTCGGAAATATTCTGAAGACATTTAGAAAATACTGTACAGTACAGTATTCGTAATTTCATATGTCTCCAAAATGTGCTTGTTCTTTCAATAAAATAAATTCCATTCGATAAAAATGACTCTGGGATGAAAGAAGAGAGCCATGCACTGTCACTGAAATTTAAAGCTTTTCAACCAATTTTTTCAAGTTGCCGACTCGCGCATAGAATTTGAAAATACCCACATATTGTGACGCCGTGTTTCCAATTCGAAAGAAACCTTTTTCTACATTTTGAAGGCTTCAACATCAAAATTTTCATAAATTCAAAATTTAAACGGACATTTAACATCGGTGCCCGTCAATTTCAAGTTTCCAACAGGGGGCCCCATCAGACGAGAAATGTTTCAAAAACGTCGAATCATAGCAAAAGGGAAAACTTATACAATATAGAGTCTAGATTACTGTAATAACTAAGTACAGTACAATATTGTATACTCACACCATCACCAACAGCTTCAACGGCTTTCATTGCAGACATCTTCTTTCCATTCACATCAGAGGAAAGCTTGGACTGATCACCACTCTTCGGTGTGGACCACGGCCGTGTTTTCAACGCCGGCTTCGCATCATATTCCTCCTCAGCGATGTCTTCCTCGTCGTCCAAGTACTCTGGATCTCGTTCTTCTTCGCTGCCCTCTCCCATCTGGAGCATGGCGTCCTCCAGTTCTCTCGATAAGTCGTCGCTTCTTCGGGCAGCATTAGGTTTTGGCTTGATTTTTGCGGGTGTTGCACCAGCGCCAGTTCCCTTTCTGTGAAGCGAAATAGAACGTGTTTCATAGGGTTTCAATAGCGCTAAAAAAGATATATATATATGTGTCTATAAGGCACTATCCAACGTGAGGGAGCAATAGCAAGAAGAGGGTGCCGAAAATCAGGAAGGCGAGGTGCTTATTCTACGTCACTGTAGGTTCGGGAACTTGGGATCCTTAATTCAAATGAAAACAACTGAACACATTTGAAGCTTAAAACCAAATGAACCTTAAATAAGTCAATAAATAAATAAATAAATAACGTACCTTAATCAAGCTAACCCAACTAACCTAAATCATTCAACCAAACATCAACCAGAAATCGGGAAAGAGCAATGTAGATGCAGATGTTCGCGAATACCTGAAGTTAACTTCATGGCAATCTTGATCAAGATTTTCTAAGCGTGCATAAGGATTAAAAATTCGAATCCTCGATTTTCGACGCGTGTCAACTCAATCAAGTCCAAAAAAAGGAAAAAACAGTAACCGAATTGAGCCAAAACAAAATCTGCCTCACCTGAAAAGAATCAACCTTTCAAAACCGACTAATTCTGCAGTCAACAATCGATACAAGATTGATCAAAGTCGTGAACAAGAAGAGAAATGTTAGGCTTGATACGTAAAGAAATCAACTGAACGTTAGCAGCACCGAGATTAACAGTTTCGAAACTATAAATTAGGTACTGTACCGTATAACCGAAGGTCCAGACGCTAAGAATGATCACACGTCGACCGCGCACACTTCAACTGGAATTTAAAATGCTCACCGCTTTAGACTTTTTCCGCCGAATTTTTCCATGCAAAAGTTTCGCTTGTGACTCGAGAAGTTCATAACATTGCGGAACAATGACTTGCACACTTTGCATTCCAGAATGAGGTCGCTTTCTGCCTTCAGCAAATTGCATGTCTGAAAACAGGAGGGAGTGCAAAATTTTGACCGGCAAACTGTAATCATAACTGCCGGCTTACGATTCGATCACCATCTTCCAGAAGCCTCATCAATTCAGCAACCCCTCGTGCGTCTGATTTGCCCGGGGTGGAAGATTTCGAGGTTTTTTCCGGAACTGAAACTGCAGCGTTACGGGCTGACCGTTTACGAGCAGACATTTTTGTGATATTTAGCGGATCACCGTTGTTGCCGTGCTATAAAACTCAATGAACTTCTGGCACGAGATCTTCGCGAAAATCAAATCATTTCCTGAAACGTATTGTGAGGGTTAACACCGTTTGCAATGATCCGTTTCTTCCTACACATCAGCAACGAGTCCACTTCAACTGAGAAGCTTTTAGCCAAACTTCAAGCGCCATCTGGCGCTCAACTTCGATGCTACTGATAGAACTTCGATATGGAAGTTCAGTGAAGGTAACGCCTCCTTCGCGTTTAGAAATACAACAACAGATGTACGCGCAACCGCTGAACGAGCGAAACATGAAATCCGTCATCAGAGGCAATTTAGATCAAGAGAATCTTTGAAATATCCCGCAATGGCTTGGAATCAGAACAACGTTCCAGCAAGTAATCGACTCGTTATAGCCAATTTCAAACTCATAATAAGAACACAGCCAACAGACGCATAGCATCTCAATTCAATACGTCCAATTTTCGAGTGTTTCACGGATAACCGCGACTATACGAACCGCGAAATTACAACATGAAAACTTCATCCACTGACAGCGACGCGAGCACAAAATTTCAGTTCCCGATGGGCACCGCCATCAACACCGCAGTATTCGACTAAATTTACGAACTTGGGCTGGAGAGCTGGTTAAGTTTAGGGACCCTGTCATGGCGCCTGAAAGTCTGCACCCGCCTTAAGTCATTCTTAATTATGCTTCCTATATGCAGCTACCTTCCAAAAAAAAGTGTATTACATCGTCTGAAAACTGCTTAGTATTTAATACACACGATGCACTGTTTGTATCGCATGGAACACCTGCGGAACAGTCTATGATGTACGACGCATGAGGTGTTTCCTTGACTTACCCCCGCTCATCCTCCACTGGTGCATTACTGCTGAGGAGTGCGCAGGGAGAAAGAATTACAGTTGTTTGTTTCCCTCCAAAGTTAGATTAAATTCGAAATTATATCCAAAACTAATCTGAACTTGCTGTATGGTTCGAATATGTGCTGACACTTGTGTCTGCACATATCCATTTTTTTAGGTGTTCGCACTGTTACAGCCAGGAACTTAATCAGGCATTTCCCCATACTCAACATGATCTTAATTATAGCTGCCTAAGGGGTTGGGCTCTCACTCAGAAGATCATGGGTTCAAGCACAGGTTTTTAAAATTTCAAATGCTATGCATCATCAAAATTACGAACTTTCCAACATACACGCTTATTACTCTCATTGCAGCAGTTCAACACCTGCAATTAAATAGCCCAATGTCTACATATTCATATTACAATTGTCATTAGTAGAAAAAGCACTATCTCATGGGAATCAGGCACGAAGAAACTACAGGACATGAATTTTGCTCCATTGAAGGCAAAAATGAATTTTTGGAACAATTTGGGGGAATTATCAATCTATCAGAAAAAACTATAGTAAGCAAGTTTATTGCATTCTTTTTAATTGAACACCCTCTGGAGGGGCAAGATTCCTCCAAAAGGGACCCAAACTCCTCCAAGAGAAGTCCAAATTTGATCCAACTTCTGTCTTTTCAAAATGTGTAGTTTGCTGCAGTCTGACTTAGGCAAAAACATTGGACTACTTTTGGAGCAACTTCGGGATACATGCAGACAACTTCTTTCTCACTGGGTGTAGAGGCATTATTACCTGTAATGAACTATTATAATGCGGAGTCTGTTGATCAACTGAGCTGAAGGCTATTGATTTTCATCTTGTGCTTCACATTTACAGGTAATGGAAACTTTTGAACTATGTACCCCTATACATGCTCAAAGAAGTTCCCTCTTATTTTACCTTTCATTATTCATGAGAATGTTAACAGTCGTGTTTTGCAGATAATGCTTGCAATGCATGAACAGATTCAATTTGGTACATTGATTCTTTTTCACATACTGCAAACGGTGCATTCTAATGCCCTCAGGATTGTTCCATACAGCACAGCTGGAAAAGCTGTTCAAAAGTTTCGGAATCTTGGTTAATTTTATTTTGCTGAGTGTAGATATAAACGAGCGATTTGATAGCTTAGAAAACATGAGACTGCGCTGTGTTTCCCGGTGTATACAAATTCGTGGGAAACCTATAGTCCACAACTGAAAAGCCATGCTAATGCAGAAATGGCATGATCCACGAAGAGAGTTCATCTCATGCGCAAGAATACATCTTGAAAATGGGGAATAATTTTTCAAAATTTTCCCAGTAAAACAGACCATTCGTGATAGCATTTAATACCGATCATAAATCTCCGAAATTGCACAGCTCGAGAACAATCCATACGAATTACACTTACCACGTCGGCAAGGTGACGCCAAGCTCATCATATCTCTCTTAAAAACCGAACAAATAACACTTTCATCCAAAGCAAAATCAACACTTTTCAAATGGTATTACACAGATTTTCGAACGAGAAACTACGCGTTTACTCCAACAGCCACTGTCCGATGAGTTTACCAATTTTTCTCCTCGCATTTTTCAGATCTACGGAGTCAATATCTCTCTCTGGATACATGTTGGCACAGTGAGCAACACCTATAATGAAAAAAATATATCGGTCACATAGTTCACTTCAGAAGTTTGTCCTTCATTCACACTTAACATTCGGACTTACTTATGCTGTTTTGAACAGTTCACCCTCGATTTCCTACTTTTGTCTAAGCTGAAGAGAGAATCAATTTCAAAAGTGTAATAAATTTTTTTTTGGCAAAATCCTGACAAAAAAATGAAGGGAAAAATTCAAATCTGATTTCATCTTTGGGACTTCGGAAGTTGTGATTATGGGCGCAAATCAAGAGAACACGAGTCTTAGTACAACAGGTCTCACAAACGTACAAGACTCAACGAGTTTATTCTTGCTCTGGTAATAAAAGAAGATTCATTCGGTACTTGACCCACCCAAAACCTTCGATATTTTAGTCAGAAACTCATTCAGTGAAGACGACCTACTGCGGGAGAACTTCGATATAAAATCAAGCCATTTTATGAAAGATCACGATTCTTTCACGATAATGATCTTTTTTTTTCTTTTTGAACTGAAACTCACCAGGAACATAGAAAGCTTTCGTGGATTGATCAGCAGGATCCTTCACGATTCCCAATGCGTGCCAAGGGTCGATAGCCCCATTGAAAAATGCCACTCGAGTGACTTTGATATCAGTTCCACCATAATTCCAATTAGTCCTAGAAATGCCATCCGAGACGTAATCTGCACTGAATTTTGCACCAAACAAGTCGACGCATTGCTGAAGAAAATACTCCAATGGAAAGTCGTTTCCGAAGATTTTGCTGTTGTCCGACGTTTGATAATAACCAAACTCGGAACAAGTTTGATACATCCATTGGCGTCCACCTTCGGAACTACTCGAATTCCAGTCCGTTCCAGCCAGATCTTTGATCAAAGCCTTGTACTCGTGATCCAAGCACTTCTGATCCACTGCATCCAACATCAGCCGGTTGACTTTTGCATAGCTCTCAAATGGCGTGGAATCTTTATCCGTCATTATGTCACAGAGAGTTTTCACAGTTATGTTAGCACCTTTAATACCCTCAAATTCCCGGTTGTCCTTATTGTATTGCACAACACCTTGAAAGTTACCGGCAAGTGATTCCATGAGATTCCAAACATCAGGTTCCACTTTGGCATTTAGCTTCTGGCAGAGACTGAAGAAAAAAATGAAACGGGACAATATTGAAATATCCCGAACCTTGTTCTCACCAACATTCTGCCAAGCTCAGTACCTTCCTCGAAAAATGAATAAATGCCTTTACATTTTACCGATAGGATGAAATGATGCGTTTTACACGTGATATTTTCAGAACACAGGGCGGTTAGGAGTATCTGATTAAATTTTACATAACACTGGTGTCGCTTAAAATTGTACCGTAATTTGGGTTCAATTTCTGTCGAGAGTGTTAGCATTAAATTGGTAATCTTCATTCCAGTTTTGGACTATGACGAAACCAAGATGGTATTCTAAAACCTAACGGGAAATACATAAGATGAAGTTAGAGGATTTTAAGACAGTTTACTAACTTTAATACGAAGATCGCAAATATGGTAAAAATATCGCTTCGGAATAACTTTGCGAACCTCTTTTCATGAACCACTCACTTGAACTTGTCTTTTAACGTCTCCCATCCGACTGGGTGCCCAAGAAATTTCCGTACTTGATTTGACGCCGCTGCAATTGCAGAGACACACAAGTGACCACCTTCCTTCAAAATAGCATCTTCCACCACAGTCATATAATCTGAGGAAAATTCATAACGATAAGCACGATATAATTTTAATCGGAGGATTCACTGACCGGCGAAATTCAACTGAGCCCGTAGAGGGGCACTGGCCGAAACCGCTCCATGAATCAAATGCGGAAATTTTAGACGAGACCAAGCAGACAATGAACCTGGATATGAGCCCCCGAATGCAATCCATTTGTTGTTTGTGAGGTTCCATTCTGCTTTCATTTGACCAATGAACGAAGCGAGATCCGCCAAGGCTTGTTCACTTGACAAATACGCCAGATTTTTGACATTCAAATCCCTAAAAAAAAACAAGAGGATCAATTATTTTTTAACATGAAATCCTGAATTACTTCAAGATTACTCCGAAGAATTTTTTGGAACAAACTTTCTTCCTTTCGTAATTTATTCTCGTGCATAAAGCGACTACATTACTACCTTAAATCTTTTTTTGGACTGCCGAATCAGATGTTGACATCCGTGTATGTAATGGTTGACTCCCAGCGAAGGAAAATAATGTACCGTAATTCACAAAAATAATAAATCGAGGGAATCGTACCGGAGAAAAAAATGCATGCAGGAGAATTACTCTTTCCCTAATCATTTTCGATGCCTATGATAATATTTGCCCACAGAGAAAGCCCTTGATCTTTCGTCCAAGTTCAAGTGAAGTACATGGGAGGTTTCCGACAAGAAGCTCCAACAGCTCAAGAAACATCGACAGTCGTGAATGAAAAGTCCAGAATATTTCCGTATCAACTCCGGGTATTGAATTCTTCATAACAACGTGATCATCATTAAGACCTAGGATAAATTATCCAAGATAACCATCATAATATAATTAAAGACGTGCCATTTTTAACGACACAAAATAAAGAAAAGGAAATCATACGCACAGAACAGGATGACTTTCGCCGTAGTAACGATGCTCCAACTGGAAACATAGGGCACCAAACATCTCGGCATATTTCACCCACGTGCCTACGACAGACCAAATCGGATTCGCTGGGCCTTCACCTCCGATCATCAAGAATATTGGTCCACCCGGCTTAAAAAATGTATCATTCACGAAGTATCTCTGCAACGAAATAAATTAACCGTGATTGAATGGTCGACGCTTAATCCAGAATCAGTAATGGAGTGCTGACCTGTTTCCACGTACTGACGTCAACAGCGTTGAAGTTGTCAACTTTCTGGGTGACATAGCGAGCCTCTGGAAGCTTGTACCCGAAATCCACTGGATTTTTCGCCTTTTGCCAGTAACGCCCGAGGTGGAAAACACGCGCTTCTGCACACGTCGCGATCACGACGGCAAACAAAAGGAAGTTCATCTTGACCGGGGACTGGAAAATACATCAGAATACGTCACAATCAAGAGTATCGAATTAGTTACTTATTGATCATGCTATTCAAAATATGTTGTCCTCGCAGAATAAATCTCTGTTCTTTTCACAGATACGAAAATGCTGAAGCCAACACCCCGTATCGATTATCCAACTCATTTAATAGGCGCTTGAGCGAGCGATGGGGCGGTAACAGGTCCTTTGGATGTGATCATTTTGTTTTCTTTCCAAGTGGCCTCCATAAGCAATGAAGTCATCAGATCAACCTGCAAAACGAAAATTGCCACTCATACACTGGACAGTAAAAATTTAAAAATGGTAACACATTTTGAATCAACCCGATCAGACGAAATTTCGCGAACGTCCGACTTATTGGGGAGGGGGAATGTTTTCGTAAGCGTTCAGCCCAACAAGAAGAGAATCGTTTCACATTCGTAAAAAAATTTCCCTCAACGCTAACATTAAATTATGTTTAATATTTAACAATCTTCCATTAATGAACCAAAATAAAATCGGCTTCGTGACATTGGTTGATGGTTGATGTAAAACTTAAAAAGGCGAACGGCTGCTCTGATCCCTTGCGTGTTGGCCGCAAGTGTTTTAAAAACAATAATTAATTTTCACAGTTAGCGATTAGCTAAAAATCAAAAATATGACTGGATTTTGTTCATCAGTTTGATAATAGAAATTCCATTCATATTTTCCTTCGAAAAGCTTTCTCACCGACAGAGTTTCCCAGATTTTCTTCTTGGGGTTCATGACAACCGGTGGGGGACAGCTGACGTCGATACCATCGAACATAACCTTTTCACCAACAGGTGTGTCTTCGGGTACGATTAAAGGTTCCACCTTATCCCTAGAGCACGAATGATGCTTTCAATCCGACGAGGATGCCTTACTTCAAAGGGTCACTCACTCCGTCGATGCACATAGAACCATTCCTTTTGATTCCAAGCCACGCATCTTAGCTGGTTTCAAATTGCAGAGCACGACAACTTTCCGATTCATCATCTCGTCAATAGTTACATGTTTCACGAGGCCGCTTATTATTTGTCTTGGTTCCGGTTCACCTGACGTGCAAAAATTATCGTTGTTAAATAAGACGACCAAAACCTTACTGCTGAGTACACGTTTTTTATCCATTTGGTAAACTTTCCTAGTCCATTAAAAATACGAATTGTTTCAGTTCACGTAGGAAGTACGGCTTTGTGAAGTCAACATTTCTCGCAGTCCATCGCGTATTAGTCCTACACCAAATCAAGTTCAATCGACAGAGGGTGCAACAGCGTTGAAGCCGTAGCGATCTAAAGTACAGTACTGAACAGGTAAAACGCCATCAGGTTGTCGATAGCAGTTTCATTAAATGATGACTATTGACTAGATAGTTGCATACGCTAAACAATTAATTAAAATGACGTCACTGACATATTCATCGGCAATGCGGGTAATCCGCAGTGGGCATTTGAACCAAGATGCTGACGATCTACATTGGCAAGTAGCTTCTAAGACTTACAACAGCCTAAATTTGAGCAGAAGTCTCATTGCATTTTACACTATTCTGTAAATGATAAACTTACTAACCGAGGTCAATCTTTTCAACATACAAAGCATCAGCATCAGGATGCCGTTGAATTTCAACAATTTTCCCGACGCGAATGTCCAAAAGGTGTGGTCCCATAATTTCAGCATCGCCACCAGCACCAGTTGCTTTTTTCGCCGTTGCAGATTCTAAGAATAGAAGATAAATGATCATCCGTCAATAACAAATTGAATTCCTAGTGGCACTCACTTTTTCCAGGTACTGGATACGCAGCTTCGGCCAAGGCAATAAGCTTTGGATCTTCGAATGTCTTTCTTATTGGATCCAAGAGGGCATTGAGATGCTTCTCAAGGCCGGCTTTCAAGTCACCAGGATGAAGTTCTTGCTTTGAAAAGCACTGCTCCAGTAATTCGTAATTTTCGAATTTCAAGTCCCCACCATTGGCTTCAGAACGCGAGATCACGAATTCTTCTCCAGGTTTCAAAAGAGGAAATATAACGTAACGGACGAAAGAAAGAACTCCATTCTCCGCTGTATTTCCCGGTTCACAAAAGGCCTTTTTCAATTTCTTCTTCACTGCTGCTGGTGTGTCCAACAAATCGATTTTACTATCCTCTTCGGATGCTGACATTTTTCCGCCGGTCAATCCAGGAACTAGGAGGAAAACATAAAAATATCAGCTGACGCAAAATCAATACCAGGAAAATTTGGAGAAAAACCTTAAAACTAGGATTGTGCTTCGTACTACAGTAAGTCTGGAAGGATTCAACTTCCGAGTTGGCTAATAAAAATGCATAGAAAGCATGTATTGTAACAATTACTCGATTTAGAAACATGCTGATCATCCAAAACTCACCCATGGGATTCATCAAATGAATGCGTTTCTTAAACCCAAGTTGTGGCAAATACTTCTCGGCAAACGTAAAAATCTTGCGCTGATCAACTCCACCAAACTGAGCGTCAACTCCAAGGTATTCTTCATCCAAAGCCTGCAGGCCAGGATAAATAAGGCCAGAGAGCAAAGGATGGTCCACTTGTTTCACAACTTCGGCTCCTGCCTTTTTTGCATCGTGTTCCGAAACAATGGACGAAAGCTTGTAGAAGTCTAGTGTATATTCTTTGGACAACTGGTAGTCAGTCCCACGCTTGAAACTCAACTTTTCCAGAGGAACACCAATAGAAGACAGCATTGCTTTGATAAGGTGTTCATAATATTCCGTTCTCAGGTCCAGCAGCTCCCAAGGAGCTTTGAGATTATCCAGAAATGCGTGAAGATTCGCAAACAAGATGGTAACCTTAAAATAATTGACACTGTTTTAACATGCCTCAGCAGTGACACGAACATAGCAGGATAAAAATTCAGAGAACAACTCACATGACACCCTGAATGCAGGAAGTCAGCGATTTTGCAAATCGGAACGAAGTATCCAACATGTGGTTTTCCAGTAGTAGCAGTTCCCCAATAAATCTTGAAATCACTATCATCTTTTGACAAAATTTCTTTCAACTGATCATCTCCTAAAATTTCTTGGAGATTGCGAGCGACCGTCTCGTATCTAGACACCATTGTCGCACTTTCACGAACGGCTTTCGATTAGCCTGCAAAATTCATTACTGATTCAAATCATCCAAAAAGATACTGGTATTCAAAAAAATGTAATCAACGGATTGGGACGTAGGATTTATATCACGTCCTATTCCAATCGTGACACACATCACCGATTCGATTTTGCGACACGTTCCAATTCGTCTTTTTTCTTGATAGCATGAGAATTCGACGAACCCTTCGCAGCGTTTATTAATTCATCCGCTAAACACTCCGAAATCGTTTTGATGTTGTGAAAAGCTGCTTCTCGTGCTCCGGTACAAAGCAGCAAGAGGGCCTATAATGTATTCCAAAAATTAAATCACGATCAATTGAAAAACGGGGTCCTGGAAGACATTACCGTATTGACACGACGAAGAGGGGAAACATCGACTGCTTGACGACGCACAGTTCCGGCTCTTCCTATGCGTGTTGAATCCTCGCGAGCACCAGAGTTGATTATCGCGTTGACGAGCACTTGGAGCGGGTTCTTTTAACAATCAAGAAGCTCGAACATATCCGTAATACAAGTGAGCGTCGAGTTACTTACCTCTCCGGTTAAAAGATGAATTATTTCAAATGCATGCTTCACAATACGAACGGCCATCAACTTCTTCCCATTATTTCGGCCATGCATCATAAGACTGTTGCACAGACGTTCCACAATCGGACACAAAGCCTTCCGAAACCTCTTCTTTGCGAAACGACCAGCGGAGTGAGGAAGAAATCGCGCTGAACTTTCCTTGACGGCAATGTAATCCTGACAACGCCAGTGAAACATCGGAAGGTACAGATTTTGGGTCTCGTTTCTGCCATTCAATTGAAATCATTACCGTCAACGAGATGTCCGAAACTTGCACTTCATCCGTATTCCATTTCCCGAAAACCTTTATTTCAGGTACATCCGGGGAAATACTTGTCGGGAACAGCGTTTTCTCAGATAACGCAGCCAGATCTGGCGAGTTTTCAACAGCATCGACGATCATCGTAATAGTTTTTTGGTTTTGCCTGTAAAAATAAGTTATAAGGCATCACAACAAATACACATGCACGCAAGCACGTCCGAAAATCAGCACGATGATGGCCATGCAAATTTCAGGACCAAAAAGTCTATCACCACGTCACACAAATTATAGTACAGTTCAGTAAAAAGAAGAATGAAATCTCCACAAAATCCACAGACCAAAGAAATTCCTGTGGCCAGTGAGCTGCAATCGTACTGGATTACGCAAGCTTGACTTTCCGCAGGGGGCAATCAGAAGTCGCGCCACAAATCGTCGAATAGCTTGACATGAAGGAACGTTAGGTGTCGCCCGCAACCGAATTCGTCCACAAGAAGCACCGTACGACGGCATCAGCGCATTCCAAATTTCGTCGGATTACGAAAGCGTGACGCTCTTTGGCATCGCAACTATTTTTAATTCTCATTATTCTTACAAGAATACCGTTCTTAGAGTCAAAACCCCGCAGTCCCATTTAAAAATGCTAAGTATGGTCCAACTCGTGCACGGCTTACAGATTTTTCCATAAATTTCACAGGAGACAAATCCGTGCTTTTCTTACTCACCAACAGAGATCAAGTTATAATCGTTGTATACATTTTTAAGAATACGCCAGAATATTTCGCTCAGGCAGCAAAGCTTTCCACCTCCCTACTAGCAACAATTAAAAAATAAGCCGAGTCGTGAAAGACATCCACACTTATTCTGGTTAGGTCAAGGTTTTCATAATTCCATCTATCAATGTGCACAGGGTGAAGTGAATTACAGGGGTTCAGAATGGATTTGGCCTCGTTAAATACGCGTTAAAAAGATAGTTGATAAACCTTATACCGATCAGAAAGCAGCAGTCGTCAAAAAATATATATAAACTGTGTGGGAATAAAAAGATGGCGAACTGTTTCCGAGTAGCGCGCTTAGAATGATAAAAAGCGAAAATTCAATCAGCAGAATGTACTTCAGTCCACCCACAAGGAAAACAAGCGCAGGCAAAACAGACATGAGCACCTACAACAAAACTATTCATCGCGCGAGATCCCATCCAAACGTAGCAAAACGCGACGAACACCATTCACACCAAAAAGGATCCCTAGTCGTGTCAAGCTTTCGGCCGCTGATCACTTTGCTGCATTTGCTTGATGAGTTCTTCATCTCCGACACTGACCTCCGTCAGTTTCCGCCCGACTCTCTCGTGTATCTCCAGGTACTTGGCAACACACCGATCTAAACACACGCTTTCGCCTTTATTCAGCTCGGCATCCTTGTACTTGGGCGGTATACACTTTTTGTGGCACGAAGCGGTCATTCGGTTATACATATCAGACATCATCTCGAGTTCTAGCTCTTGCACCATGGCCATTTTCTCTTCGTCCAGTTGTGGGAGTGCCATGTTGCAAACCAAGTTTTATACTTCTGCAGACACATACATTGAATAAGCATTTTATTTTTTCTTCAAATAGAGCAGGAAATGGGCTGAAGAAGGTCGGTTGATCAATGAAATCTGTTCGTTACAGTTTGCATTACCGAAGACTAAATTTAATATTAGCGAGAATACAGGACGATTTTCTTTCCGATTTTAGCTCACAACACAATTTTGCGCGCCTTAGATTGTACCTCAGATTCTTTGCAAAATGCTATTCCAAGAGACACAACCAAAATCTGCACCCATTCATTCACTTAACGAGAAGCATATCATACCTCAACGAACAATTTTTACCACTTGTATGAGTAGAAAAGAGGATCAAAACGAAGTAAATCACAGAAAGTTTAAAATCAAAGAGTAACTCAATGAATCTGGCACATCAACGTGAATTCTTTTCGGTACAAACATCATCATAATATTGGTAACGGTAAAAAATTTCATCAGAAAGAAAATTACAGCATACACTATTTTCAGGATGCGTTTCACTAAACGATATGTGCAGTTTTGCGCAATTTCGTGACACATTCCGAAAAGGAGCAGAGCGTTTTGGATTCGTCAGGAAAAAGTTTTGCAGCTAGGACTCGTTAAATTACGATGTTCTTAAATTGATGGCGTCCACTTTTCTAGTTGAATTGGTAATGTAAACGTACGAAATACTGACAACAGACCTTCTTTCAACATGGTTACAAATAATAGACGAAAACATTAGATGAAATATTTTGATGTAATCCTTTAGGCAATACTGAAGAATTTCAGCATCTACTCCAACAACAAGAGAACCGCTCCCGGGACTTCCACAACATCAAACGAATGCCACTTTTTCGTCCCTCAGAAGTACACAACACACGATTGATCAATAACTTATCATCACAAGAAGAAGTTTCACGAGCTGAAGTTATTGCCTAAAACTCCGCACACGAATCAGATCTCTGCAGCGTGTCTGCACCTGGACGACACAATATCAGAGAATTGAGCCCCACGCAAAAAATAATGAATCGCTCGTAACCCCGAACATTGCACAAGCGATAATTACAACAGCCAAATTAACGTTTTCAAAGATGAGAAGGATCATCTTTCAAAACCAGAACGTCTTCTGGGTCGATAGATTTGAAGAAGGATTCTACTTTCTCATCCGAAACTTCCGCCAATGTAGCCGGTTTCCACTTCGGGGCGTTATCCTTGTCAATCAATACTGCTCTTACGCCTGCAATGTAGAAAACCTCTTGAATATCTCTCCTCATATAACAGCAAATGCGCCTCATAAATAGCCTTGCAAAAATTTCAATACCTTCGTAGAAATCATGATCGGCGCAGAAATGCTGACCCATGATGTATTCAAGCTCAAGACTTTGCTTTAGATCCAGTTTCTTTCCTTTCCGCATTTGCCGGAGGGTTACCTTCAGTGACGTCGGCGACATTTTCAACATATTTTTCAAAACATTCAAGGACCATTCAGAACCATCTGCTTCTAGACGACGAACGATTTCTTCCATCGAATTGGCCGAGAAGACCTTCTCGATCAATTCCAAATGAGGCGCAAGAGAAAACTCCGTTATTCCCTGATTAGATTCGTATTCAAGCGAGAACTTCTGCAAAATGGTTTCCAAACTGGCCTGCGAATCGAAAGTACACAGATTCACACCATTGAAAAGAATATAGCGTAATCCAATCAATGGGAATCTTTTTGGGTATTATACAAGTCCTTGATCTTGACAAAATAATCATGAAACGCAATAATTTTGAAAGTCTTAAAAACTTGAAAAGCACACCGTCGTGGTGAACGCGGTAAAAGGCAAATCAACAGCGTTATTCAAGTATAGTTGGATTAATTCAAAAGACTATCAACATTTTTAAATTTTAAAAATACAGTAATCTTCATTTGCTGACTGAAGAAGTGGGATACCAAGTTTTAGGTAACTTCCGATAAAATTATCGGCTTAAAAACTGACATGAATGACGACTGAATCACCGTTACAAAAAGAAAATCTACAAGCTTTGAAAACTGAATTTGACTAGATATTACTTCAAATTGTCTCACTTCATCCACAAGTTTCAGGTCCAAAATTTCTGCTTCCAAGTCACGCAATCGATCACGAGGACAAATGTGGGTTGCAATACCAGCATGCAGTACATCGCTGCCCCTCAGGCGATGTCCAGTCAATGCCAGGAATGTGCCAAGTTCACCTCTCATTCTTGGCAGGAAATGAGTACCTTAAAAATATCGACTTATAATAAACAGAAGAACAAAAAAATATAGAATCACTTCGGGTTCAACAAGAAGGAATTCCCATGGAAGATTTTTGAAGGTTTTTTCTTTTTTTATCTATGCATAAAACAGTTGATTTTCAAACTGCAGATTTCTGGCAACTTCAACTACCAGAAGAGTAAAAAAATTTTTCGGGAATTACAAAACAATAAAATTGGGGACTAAATTTACTTAAGGCATTTTTGAGAAGCCATATGAACTTGCATACCCTAATTTTCCAGTCCAAATTTTCCAGTACAAAAACACGTGCGTGCCGACAAGACATTGATTAGCATCACATGAAGCTAGAATCTTTGACATACTGGGTGAACCCAAAATGCGCATAAGTTTTTGTGAACAACAATTTCCCGAATACAAATTTTCAAGTAAAATCAACCTGAATAGCAATATCTGCCCAAAAATATACGACCACGTCCTTTTGAAAGAAGTAAAATTAAAATTTCTGGACACTGTATTTCCTTACAGTCGCACACGGGATCCCAAGTTTTTGTTTTGTCGCGTATTTATTGCAACATTGTTTGAAGACGTTCAATACTGTAGTTGAAATATTACTTGCTCAGGTGAACATTGTGGGACAACCCGGTAAAACAGTATTTCGCACACTAAAAGACGCCATTTATGCAAACCTCAGGTGGATTCTTTGCGATTGAAATCAAATAGAAGGGAAGATTGCATTTATGTAATTACGGTAGTCGGTTTTTACGAAGTACCATGCGTAAATTAATAAATTGTTGTGGCTGCTTTCTGCTTTATTCGTATACAACTAAAAAATAAATATTAACTCACTTACCACCGACATCTGGGAAGAGGCCAATGGCCGTTTCTGGCATCGCGAACAGCGTATTCTCAGTGGCAACTCGATATGGCCCATGGACAGACACCCCAAACCCACCTCCCATCACGATCCCGTCGATCAACGCAATGTAAGGGATCTTCATTGTTCCCGTGGTGTAATCCAATATGTATTCTTCTCGAAAAAATTCGTGAGCCATGAACGATCCTTTCATACCGGCTTCCGTTATGGCCCGTACATCTCCACCAGCACAGAAGGCTTTGTCCCCAGCGCCTTTCATGATGATCAGGTCAACTTCGTTTCGCCATCGCTGAAGCTTCGGCGTCAAAACGCGTATCATGGAGAGATTCAAGGCATTTAGTGCCTTCGGTCGATTTAACGTCACGAGACCCTTGTTATTGATCTCCTGCATCATCACGATATCTGTTAGAGATGACATTCTCCGGTCCCAACGACCAAACAATGGTCTCGCGATGGACGTCACTTTTCTGAACCAAACCATTACTAGTATTTTCGAACCTGTGCCAGAAAAAAACATCCTTCTAACAATATAAAGTATCACGAAAAATGAAGGAAGAAACAAAAGAGGGAATACTGTAATAATTTGAAGTCTTCCCGGTGAAAACGTACTGGATTTGCCTATGCATCACTGCGTACTTGAATTTTCGCAACACAGAATAGAACATCCCAGAATTTGCACCCCGAACAAGCAAGCAAAATAAATAAAAAATTGCGAGATAATCCCCGCGACGAAAAAAATAATAATACACAGTGAAGGATCCGCTTCACACCACATACCACGGTAAAGAGCTGGAATTCAACGGTTTCATGCTTGTGCAATGGCCATGGTTTGGATGCTCACTTACTGAGCGATTCACAGATTCACGTTTCTGAAACAAATTTCACGTCATTCCCGGTCTTTTTCAACACTTCCTCGACATCGTCCTTGGACATTTGCGATGTGATAACGGTGACCAGCTTTTTGGACAGGTCCACGTCGTAAGACTCAATCTTGTCTTCCACTTTACCCAACACACGCTTCGCAGCATTCACGCATCCATCGCAAGTCATGGCAACTTCAAATACGAACGTCTTGCCCATTTTGAAAGCTTCTGAGAATGATTTCAAATTTTAAAAGTCACGGAACGTGTACCTATTCAGGTGACTCACTGAGAATTTCACCCTTTTCTAAGTTGATATTGTCACTACTGCAAAACTTTGAGTAGCTCTGAAAGAAAAGACAAAAAAATCATATGATAGAAGTGATCGAGACACTTCCAGACGAAATATTGGACATCTCATTCTCCTTCCCAATTGATATTCAAATTTCCAACAGACACACAAGATGAAAAAAGGTAAAAGAAGGAATCCACAATATCAAAGCAGACTGTATCCTCAGTTCTTTCCAGCAACATCCCTGCACTTCGCTTTTCAAACGTAATCCTAATCTTCGAACTTTCCATAGTTTGTATGCACAGTTAAATGCCAGAAAGGGACACTGGAATCCTCCAACTGAACAAAGCTTTAGCACCACGAAAAAATAAAACTGATACAGCCAAAACGTCACGTCCACATCCGAACATGCAATACACTTTCTTACAAAAACCTTGGTGAACTTTAAAAAACACATCACGAGTTTCATCAGAATTAAAACCAATGCAGATCAGCGTCGCATTTCAAAATTATTCCGGCGTTCGTCTTCTAATCTTTTCGGAATACAAATGTTGCCGAAACGATAGCAATTTCGCAACAGCATAAGTGACTTGATGAATAATTTCACAGCGCAACACGCTTCTGATGGTACTACAGTACATTATATAGAATACTGCAATCCTCGCGTTTCTTACAGAATTTCATCCAACAAAAGCGAAAATATCGTACAAAAAATGTGTAAAAGCTTCCGACTACAACCGGCATCCTTTCCTAGTGAGATCAACGACGATTTTGACATCACTTAGTAAGACGGCAGAGCAGATATTACCTGTAGCATCGTCAGTGCGATAAAAACTAAAAATCCTAATCCAAAGCACACATAACCAGCAGTTACGGGCAAACAAACGACTCTCGCTTTCAAGTTTTGTGAACTGGTGTACAGCAAGAAAGAATCGAGCTCAGCCGGACTGGCGTTTTGAAATCCGAAGGGACGCTCTCGAACTTTGTGGCCCAATTTTCGCATGTCATCGTAACTTGCACTCAGCCGACATGCCTGTCATAGGAGAAATACATTAAATTTTCGAAGAAATGAAAAATTTCCCATCATAACGTCGGACTGGATCGATGACAAGGTACAGTACTACCAAATTGTAATCACGTATGACTTCGAAAATTTTCTATGTACTTTTACTTTTCTTCAAGCACATGTTCACAAAATTTCAACTAAATATGGCATTAAAAAATGGAAACAGACCTGAAGAAGTGGCAGAAGAAAAAGACATCCCCAAAGGATAACCATCATGATGGAAGCTGCCAGCACAACACCAGGAATCAAACTGATGTCTGAGAGCAGAAACCACAAGCTTCCACTCGCAAATCGACTCACATTCACCACCAGCAGCAAACAGATACTTATTCCCAAATCTTTGTTCAAATAATCCAAGTATTTCTCACTCTCTCCTATTTCCTGTACAAACAAACAAAATTTTTATTTCAAGTGTCGAACGAACTGCGAAAAAAGTCCCGAATACTCACTTTCATTGCAGATTCAAGTGAAATCTGACGCTGAAGTACTTGAGTGGCAATAGCTTGCAGAGATAAGCGAAGCAACTGCGCTTGCAGACAATATGACGTGATCAGAGTTATTTGAACAACATCTTGCAACCACGTTGCGATGATCAGTAAGCTCTCCAACGAGTTATGCACCCAAGGCAACAACCTGAAAAATACTACTTCTTTCGAGATTTTTAAAGAAAAAATTCAAGGGAACTTACGTGTAACTGATGACATTAAATCGAACTTCAGCAGTGGCAAGGTACAAGAGTAGTGCAGTAGACGCAGCCATCAACCACAAAATTCCAGCTGCCAACCATATTCTCAGTGAATGTAGCATGTCACGTTGATTCGAAAGAGATACTGGGCACGACGATTGTAAAAAAGCCTGTCACAGCATAATTTCAAGTTCAATTAGCAAATGTATGAAAAATGTAAGCAGGTCAAAGCAGTTCGAATATTTAGACTTACTTTCTCCAATAATGTTTCCATTTGCTCGTTTTCCGCAATACGCATCACATAGAAAAAGAACAAGTATGCTCCGAGGAGAAGAATGTCAGGCAATATGAATGCAGCTAGGGATGGCTTAGGACATTGTTCATCAGTCGGATCTGGAGGAAAATCATCGGTTTTGTGCAGCTTCCAGCCTCCAATGCGACTTGACGTTCCAGGCGCAAATAATTCAATTTTTGTAGAAACATTCACATGCTTGACAGATGTTTGGTTCCATAGTATCGTCAATGGTTCCGAAGGCAATTCTCCATCCATGCTTTAAAAAAAAGCAACCATGAATACTGTACTCATATTGATGCCATAAGAGGTTGGACCATCGTAAACCATAATTCAAACTACTGTTTTTACCGTAAAACAGAACAACGCATAGTAATTCAATCTGTCCTCACCGAAAACAGGCACCGTATTGCAAGGTGAAGCCCAGTAAGATCAACGACAGAAGGAAGACGACGTAAAACCTATTCAGCCATTTCAAGAATCTACAGCTCGCAGAATCAGAAAAGGACCGCCATCCAAGAATTGCCAACAAGATGAAGTACGGCCGAAGAAAACGCTTCTTGCAGTAATAGAGAACTGCTGACGTACTCGCCATATCCAAGGAAGGATATTCCGTTATGTAGGCCACCTGCAATCAAAGAAAATCATCAGCAATATCGTCGAATTTGCAACACTACACCAAAAACTTAAGAAAATTATGAAATTACAAACTGGAATGAAACGCCTGAGATTAAGACTAGAAAGAGACAGAAGCAAACTACCTCACGACGCGAATTCTACATTTCTTCACTGAATATATTTATTTGAACCAGCAGATAAACGGAACAGGCGGACAGGCCAGAATCTTGAATTTCTAACAGAATGAAACTTCGCCTTACACCGTGGCTGGAATTGCTTGAGGAAGATCTCGTAGTCGTCCCATCGTCCAAAGCACTTTCATTCTCCAATTCAGACGCTGGCACTGTAGGAAACGTTTCCAAAGAGCTGTTTTCTATCGCATCCTCCGTTTGATCGTCGGAGCAACGTTGGGAGCCGAAAGAATTCGCCACGGAATTTGTGTCGGTGACGGTTGGAAACAGATGTCGAGCATCGCCCATCACACACGAAGTACCGACTATGAATTCACTGAACTGTATCACAGATACTTCCTCGCAATATTAAAAAAAGATAAACAGGCAGCAATATTGCAGAGAGTCTCTTGAACTACAGCATTACATGTCAGACACCGACGTGAACTTGGCCTCATCCGTTCGCTTAAAGAATCAAATGCACGAAAATGTGAGCTTTCCCACGGCAATTCACTTAAATCCTTCCTCCGATAAGAAAAATTCGCCGCAACTTCATTTGACATATCGAAAAAGGATGTTGCCTCGTGAACATGCCACACGTTCGCGCATCGCAATCGCCCAGGCGGTGATCAAAAACAACTACAGCGCATGAGGTTCTACTGTATCAATTTCACATTTTATACAAATAGATGTCGCTTCTGCAACATTTTCTGTCATTAAAATGCACAAGTGTACAGTACTGTATTTCACTGCAAGATTTATCGAGAGAATGA